ATGAAGAAAGAAAGGAAGGAAGATGTAGAATAAAGAAAGACGGAGAAACTGTTTTTATAGACGAAAGAGAACGAAGTGTCGCTCACTTCTATTTTATTATTATTTTTCAACGTTTACGATGCTAGCTCATTTTCTTAGAGAAATACCAAGGAATGGATATGAACATTTTTCCAGCATCATTCTTAAAGTTTGGTTTATTTTAATAAAAACAGATTTAAATTTAAAAAATATTGTTGTAAATTTATCAGTATCCAAAACTTCACATTATTTGAGATCACAAACTTTTTAACTAATGTTGTATTAATTATTAAATTCTGAATTTTGAAGATACTAGTTTGAGTTTTCTTAACTAATTTTTATGAGCTCCTTAAAATACTACGTAAAAATAGGAAAAAGTGAATGTTAAAAACATTTGCTGCGACAAATGAGGCTTAAAAATTACATTGTTCATTTTATACGCATTTTTTTCTGAATAACTCTCATTCCTTTCACCTTTCATTCGATACAGGTGTAAGCTTTCAATTTAAATTTTATTTTCTGCCTTTCTTCATCCTTCCATTACTTTTTTTATTCCACGACTTGAATAAATCAAAATTACAGAAAAAATGTCATGAACGATATTACAGCAACAAACAATTCCAATTTTGAAGTAAATGTCATATTTAATGTAACAGATTAATCAGAGAAAAATGGATAAGGGATTGAAATTGGCGGAAAATTGACCTACATTTCATAATACTGTCCTTGTCAGACATTGAACACAAGAGAGAAAACGAGAAGATAAAATGAAAATTCTCGTTTAGCCTGCTGAAATTTTTCTATACATGATCCAAGAAACTTTATCGTCATCGTTTTAGGATAGGATTAAAAAAAGGAACATTTAATTGAAATTTTTTTGGCATTAAAAAGATGAAAAAGCCCGCTTTATAGAGTCAGAATAATTATTGTAATACAAAAAAGAATGTTTCAAGCTTTTCAAAACGTTTATTTATGATTTAATCATATTTGATTTAGGTATTGAAAGACGAAAATAAAATATTGTAAATGAAATCCAGAATAAAGCTTAAATCTCACTTTTTGATAATAATCAAAACAGTTTTCAATAATTGATTTTTTTTCCCTATATTTGAAGTTAGGAGCTTTTAAATCCAATTAAACGCCTAAAAGTTTTATAGGAAAGAAAATTTCACAGAAATTCGTAAATCTTTTTGCGTGTGTGAAAAAAAGATGCTTTTAAAAATGAAGAAATAAAATTAATCGAAACCTTACGAGAATTAATCTTAAAAACTCATTTTGTCGTGTGTGTGTAATTAAGTTTAAATTATTAAAGTAAATAAAATTTACGCATGTGATGTTTTCGTAAAGGTTGCTCCTAACTGAAATGCTTAGTAAAAATTCAAACTTTCAATCCGTACAATTTAATCAAAACACTAAAGTAAAAAGTTATTGAAAAAAAACATTAATCTATTGGATAAATAAAAACATTTAAGAGCGAATCAGCAACAAAATGAACAAAAATGTGTCAAAAGACCTACAAGAGCTGAACAAGAAAAATACATAAGCCATTCAATCGAGAAATCAAATAAAAAGCTTAAAAAATTTCTTCAATTTCTTTTCTGTCCATTCCATTGTGCCATTACTTTAATATTATTGATTTTTCAGAATACTTTTCAATTTCCTTGCATATATAGCTATGACGTTTATGGACAGCAATACGAATTATCATTTTTATTGTAATGAATATTGAACACATCTGAGAGATGGTTTCCGAAACATTTTCTAAATGAGGTCATTTTGCGAGCCTTTCTCCTAAATTGCAACACAAAAAGAAGAAGGACATAACATGTATACATAATCCTACCATAAGGAATGGCATAACTTTACATAAATTTCAATTTTCTCCCGCATACCATATGGGGATATTTTACATGAAAATTATTTCACTGAACTTTTTCAACATGACCTCGTAAATTGATCCTTCTTGAAAGATCCAAATGGGAATTATGTCGCTTTTATGCTCTTGGAATAATGGAATTCTTTTTCGAATAGAAAGGTAAAAAGTTGGGATTTCATTTTTTTCAAAAAAATGATAAAGAAATCTCATATATTAAAATGGTTTTATAACAATTATATTTTAAGTGATTTTTCAGTTAATGCACTGAATATTTATGTTGAAGAACCTTAAAACTAAACACATTTTGTATCTTACAACCTCAAAGTCGTAAAGTAACTAATCTATTTTATTTTAAACTAAACGACAAAAACAGTCTTTAAAATCACAAATTGATGTTTAATTATATCCAAAGCTTCATGCACAAACAACTCATTTCGTTCACCCACAAAAATTATAATTTTATCATTAAAGCACTGTTGTCTGCACAGTTTATTGATTTTTTCATCATTTATCTTCTGTATAATGTGTGTGTTTGCCAAATGTGTGTGCCATTTTCCTCTAAAAACACTTTTTTTTCCTTTTTCTTTTCTCATTAAATAAAATTTTCTATCCCAATTTAAATCAATATTATATTTTTTTAAAAACTTTTTATACCTTCATTCAAACTTTGTTGCTTAAAGTACACAATATTTTATTTTATCTCATTATACACTAAATTTTAAGAACATATTTCCCGTAAAAATTTATCGATATGAAATTAAAAAATGCACATTGTTACGTTTCATCGCATTTTCACTAGAAACCTGATAAATCATAAGCAATTGAATGATTTGATTATTTCATTTGGGTTGTATATTGACTTTAAAACTCGTTTATTACAACTTAAACATTTAATAAATTACTATTTTAAATAAATAATTTTTATATTTTAATTTTTTTATGTTTATTTTTGATTTTAACAAAATACGAAAAATTCTTAGCCCGATTATGCTACCCGCAAGACCCAAACACAACTGAAAATTTTTATCAACGTTGCATTTTTTTGTTATGAGCACAATATACAATTTGAGAGAGAAAAAGCTCTCAGTTTATCCTATACACTCAAATAATAAGTAAACTTAATTACAAATACTACTTTGAAAGAACATGTGGATGAGAGAAATATGAGAAGGCATTTTTTCCGTAAATTTATATGCTTTATGAACTTCAGCACAAGCTGCAAAGCTTTACGCATTTAGTTCATTTTGAATCATTTAACTTCTTTATTAAAATTTTATTTGAATTATGAATTATTAATCATCAAAATATTTATCTTCTGTAAACAGTATTATAAATTCAGCTCCAGACATCCATGTTCCTAAGATAGAAAGATAGACATATTTGAAATGAAAACCAAAAGATTCGGTTACAAATCATTAGTAAGGTGAGCTCTTGATAAGTTCATTGACATAATTTTCATTCATTATTTCTCTAGAGATTAAAAATTCAATAAATGCTCTCGTGTATATTTTTAATTTATGAAAAAAAAATTCATTAAAGAAGCTCCAAATGAGTCCTGTAAGGAAAAATGAGGGAGAAAATAAGAAAATTCCATCACATGATTAGTGAGAGAAATTTTACTCATTTTTCTCACGTAAAAATTATCCGTCCATAACCTAGCAAATTGTTTTTTCCCACAGACCTTAAATAGCAAAGAGAAGAATATTGAAAAATTTAAAAAGAAAATTGTTTTTCCACATGCACGTTTTCCCAGAGAAAAAATACCAACTTGTGAGAGAATAACTTTACAGTCATACACAACCGAGATAAAAATTTCTCTCACTAGTACCACAAAAATTTATCTCCTTTACAAATACAACAGCAGGCAAGTGAGATTCTTTTGAAAAAAAAAATTCTCTTTCCCATTCAGATTTTCAGGATAATTGAAAATGAAGGAAATTGAATGATAAACACTCAATGGTTGCATTATCACTTGATTATTATGATGATTATATTTTAATCTTCATCTTTCGCTCATTTTCCTTCTCACTAAAGACATTTCACTCTCTTATTGGCGTTTGAACATCTTTTGTGAATGTCCTCTTTGTTGCTGCTCTTCGATGCTTATTCATGAAATGTCAATGACAATTTTTTTCATTCTATTCATTTTTCAGCTCATTTATGATGATTTTATACCCTCTATAGTATCGTACGCTTTTCTTGACTAAAAGTGTCCTTTATCAGTTTTTCATTATTATTGTCAGCTTCTTGTCTATTCTTGTTTTATCATTATATTCCAAGACGTAGGACATCTTTATATTCATTTTGTTCCGAAACATTCTATTTACCGAAAGTTGTTGCTGTTTCTTATTTATTACCAATTACTTCTATTGAACAGATGCATAAGGGAAAAATGTCAGTTCCTCTGATTTTGACATCAATGATGATTGTGTGTATTATTTTATAACAAAGAGAAAATAATGTCTAGAAGTCTGTAAATACTGTCTAAAAATTAAAGTTTGAAGTTTGTGACGTATTACGTATTAAAGTTCTGATACTGTAACTGACTGATGTTATTTGCAAAATTACTGCTCAGCTCTTTAAGGCTTAAATATCTTTAATGTTATTTAACATTGATATTATTGAATTAAATTATTTTGCACTTCTCATTTACTCCTTGCCATTTTTATGTCATTTGTAATAAGGGCATGAATTAACGGGATTTTATCCGAGTTCCTATTGTTTGCCTCACAATATATCAACTTTTATGATGAACTTGCATTTTCAGAATATGAATATCATTCATTTATTGTACTGAAGATGATATATCATAGCAATAAATTTTAATACTTGATTCTATATAGCAATTTTTCAACACCTTAAAAATTGGTAAAAATGTTCAACAGTTAAGATTACTAAACCCCCAGAATAATTAAAGATATCGGGTTTTATTAAAGCATTTACGTATTTTTTTTTAAAATGTTTGCTTAATATTGTTTTTTTAATAAAGTCGAAGACATTTAAGTACATACAGAATATATAGCAGAATATTTTAAGTCAAATAAATCCCAAAAATAATTAAACAAGTAATTAGTTGGAATGTCCAAATATTTCATGATATCACCATACGCTTTTTATTATATTCAAATAATAAATATGTTCCTCCAATAATTTTACATTTAACAAAAAATATTGATTGGTAATATAAATACAAATTCAGTGCAATAAAAATTTAATATCAAATGACCCGTTTGAAGTGATACAGATATAAAACTTAGTACATAAATGATATAGTATTTTAAAAAATAATAACTTCAGATACATAATAAATTGAATTCAATATACTTATCAAGAAGATCAAATTTTCAATCAATTTCTAATGTCCGAAAGCTTTCAATTTCATTATCGTTACACTTCTTGACGTATTCCATATCAATTTTTATACCATCAGTTGCTTGAAGTCTCGATTGATAATTTTCTGCAATTTTTCTGAATTCTTCCATCATTTCCTTTGTTGGCACTTGACCTCCATACTCACTTGGTAAGATTTTCTTGTCAATATGATTTTCCAATTGAATATCATCACTATAGAAATATCCACGATCTCTCAATTTCTTGTTTAACAAGCCTTTTACAAAATCTAAAAGTTTTGCAATAAAACTTGGTAAATTAATTAAAATTCCTTTCTTTTGACGACCTGGTAGAGCATTTTGCACACAAGATAAATAGTTTTTAACATCAGATAAAGAAAAAAGAGATATGTAGTCTGATGAAATGTCTTTGTGGTCAAAAATATAAGAGAATCCAGTGATTTGTGTTTCTTCTTCTTCCAACAATGTTAAAATCACAAAATTCAACATTCTAACAACATCGTCAAATGTGTATTTTTTCGTATCAATCTGACTTCCACGCACCATAATCACACGACAGCCGTTTTCGTCACGTTCTTTAAGTGGAAAAATGTAAGCGTTTTCGTAAAGCTCTCTCATTCTATCATTATTAAGGGTAAGATTGCAGAACCATTGATGGTATTGCTGTGAGCGTATCAAAAAATTTTCTAGCATTTTGAATGCTGAAGCATTCATATACTTTTTCACACGAAGAAAACGAAGAAGGAAACTGTCATCTATGTAGGAATAAAAATATTTTTGATGCTTTGATTAAAATAAAGTATAGAAAATAAATCTTTATTTATATTTTAGACAAGTTTTACAAAGCTTCTAATCATAGAAAATTTGAAATCTTTATCCGAAGGGACCATAGATTAAAAGCTAAGAATTTCTTCGACTTATGAGAATGTAAAAGACTGCTTCTTAGACTCTGCTTTTATTTTTTTGTCAAAAAAAATCATATATATGAATTGACGAAATATGTGAATGACACCTACATTTTTGAACAAAGCACAACATAAAACAAGCATCAATCCATTCACTTCATATATACCAGTGATTTCCAAACTGTTTGTTGCGACACACTAAATGCAAAAAATTCGGAAAATCTCACGAACTGTATGCCGCGTACGGTTTTGATCATGACTTAGCATCAAGGTGTGTCGCCGACCAAAAAAGTTTGGAAGACACTGATATATACCAACAAAAACACAACACTACACAAATCAAATTATGTAATTACCTGTACGACAGTATTGAATATGACCTTGCTTGGAAATCCACTCGCGAAATTGTTCAAGTGCTTGTTGTTTTCTAGAATCATCTTCCCGCAATTCATTCAAAGCTTTTTGTCTCAATTTTTCACTCATTGTGGCAGTCATTTCACTCATTATAATTTTATTTTTACTTCTTGCACAAATTTCTATGATCTGAGTCAGGTTTTATATGGCAATTCGCTTACACTTTTGAATTAAAAAAAATATATTAATCGTTACAATCAGTAATAATCACATCAAATAATAGTCACTACACTAAAGTCTCATGGAAATTTGTAATTGTTTATTTAGTTATCTTATCGTAGCGACGAGTTCTGAATGAATGACTGAGAGGTTTTGCAAACAAACCTTATTTAAGTGTTTCAAAATCAGATTTTTTGAGAATTTAATTGATGAGTTGATGTACTTTAGCTCCCATGCTCATCGAAAATAAAATTAAATCGGTTTAATAATGACCATTAATATTCACACGGAATTTTATAATGCAAATTATTACCGCGGTAATCGTTACAATTATTTCTTTTTTCATAAGACCTAGTCCATTTAGTTTAAAAATATAAAAATTTATTTTTTAACAGAAATTTGAAAAGTTCTAATCTAAATCTATGTCAAGTGTACACAAAAATCTGATTCAAATGTGCTGTCTTGAGAACTTTGAGCTTACGTAATTATCTTTCAATACTTTGACGAATACTATTAAATATTAAAATATTTTTGCATAAATTAAAGTACAATAATAAATAAATAATAATAATAATAATAATAATAATGCTGCATCAATTTAAATGATGATAAAAATATCTTAACATTTTGGGGAAAAATAATGACGCAAATCTTGCTCAAAACTTAAAACTTAAAAAATTAAATAGCTTAAAAAAATGACGCATTTACACTGGTTAGTCATTGGAGAATATCCACTTGATAACTTACTGTAGACATGATATAATAATTGTAACTATGACGCATATAGAATAGAATAGAATGTAATGTAGGGTTTTGCTAATAGCAAAAGCGGCACTGCGATCGATGATCTGTTGTACCATCCCAAGTCCCCTATGTTAGAATTCCGATGTCCTTAATGAAGCCAATAATGTCCTGATAATGCTGCTTATTTATATCCTCATCATTCAAATAGTCCTCATCAAAATGCTTGACACGTTGTCCTCGTAATGACCTACATTTACAAAGTATATGAATGATTGTTTCTTCATTCACATTACAAAACCTGCAAATTTTACTGTTAGACAAATTCAATTTAAAAAGAAAACTATTGATACTCATGTGTCCTGTCAAAGCACCAATTAAGATGCTTAGATCTTTCCTTGGTAGTCTGAGAGCATCCGATATTTTATTCTTATTTTTAGGACCAAGAAGTCTTTTGGCTGTCATGGCTCCTTCCTCTAAATTCCAGATGCGAAAATGCTGTCTCTCCATCCATTCTCGTATGTCTGACTTCAACAAGCCAAACCCATAGTTCGTCGACTTGTCATAAGCTTCATTGTGTACCGCTTCTTTAGCTAATTGATCAGCTGTTTCATTACCTTCAATACCACTGTGTCCAGGTATCCATTTTAGGATGACTTCATTATCTTGCCCCAATGCTGTTAAACAAGAAATACAATCGAGAACTGTTAAAGACTTTACAACACAATTGTTTAAAGCCGTCAAAGCTGATCGACAATCTGAAAGAAAGCAATTTCTACAGCCTTTCAAATCAATATCCAAACAGTAATTAGCACCCTCACAAATAGCTTGAACTTCTGCCTGAAAGACAGAAGCATGATCCTGCAGTTTATAGGATGAATTCAAACTCAGCTCATTGCTGAACAGACCGATGCCAACACCACTTTCTGACTTTGATGCATCAGTGTATACAGACATACAATTACTGTCCACCAAATCATAAGATTCAGCAGCATTATCTTCTGATACAACTACCTTAAACTGACTGAAAATGACGCATATATTTTGCTGCTCAATTCAATGAGAGTTAATAGGATCATTAAAGTATGACGTGCTCAAAAAATAAAAGATGAACCAACTTTTCACAAAAGTCTAGTTCTAAAGAAATCATTTTGTTGAAAATGTCTCAAGATTCCATCCTATTTTCCTTTAAATGGAGAACGTTATCGATGAATAACCCCTAAGCAAATATTTTGTGTTTGTAAGCTGAATAAAGGCACGTTTTCACATGGTTAGATGTTTAAAATTTTAAAGAATATAATTATATTAAAACTGCTACCTTGTTTAAGTTTAAGTTGCATAATTTGACTAAAATAATTATTCATATTCCTTGATTTATTGATCTGGAAACATAAGTACTAAGATGTAAATTTTTTAATAAAAAAACTGCCGATTCGTTTGCAGAACAAATTAATTAAAAACTTTATTTGATAATTAAATGATCTAATGTTACTTACTAAGCTATAGGTTTTAATGGTATTTTGACGAGTACTTAAAACAAAATAAATAAAAATAATAAAAGTACATTGACTACAAAATTCCATATTTACTAGTGTGTTTGAATATACAATATTTTAAGTTTGTAATATCAACTTAGTGTATCGTGACTTATTCTAAAGTTATTTTTAATCGAATAAAATAGAATAAAAAGTGAGGCAATTAAAGTAAGAAACGATCCGTATTTTAAAATTATTTCTATACCATTAACAATAACTGTCGATAAGTAAAGCTTAAATTTAAATTCTTCGGGAATCATATCTGAAGTAGTCTCTATCCATGCTAAAGGAAGTATCAATTCATTTGGATAGTGGTTATAATAGTTTTTATGATGAGTTAACTTTAGATTTAATTGCATACGTGAAGTTCCTAAAACCGGTATTGAAAATCTTGGATGTAAGTATGCATAAGAATTATGAAGCGATTTGTTTGGAGCAAGGCCCTCAAAATGACTAAATAACTTCTCATCTCCTTCCATAAAATGTGGATGAGAGGCGTAAATTGGCGGAGAACCATCAATGCAATCTGAAACATCCAATACTCCATTTACATGCTCTTGTTGAACACTTTTCAGCTCACAGTAATATTTATTTTTAATTTGATCATTTGGCTTTGTGAATGTGTTTTCTGGAGCAATATAGTAGTAAGATGGAATATTTCCATAAATTACTTCCTGTGAAATAAAACACATTAAACAATTGAGTCTAATTTCTTTTATTTCGGGATTATGAACCTGACAAAGCTCTCACTTACTTGTTTACTATATTCAAGAGGCAATGATCTGCAGAGGTCTGGGAGAAAAACTGCAGTGTTTTGCTTATTTCTCACTTGATTTGGACCATTAAATATCCCATCATATCCTGATATTCTATGGATAAATTAATATTTTAAATAATCTGTTACTTTAAAGTAGTGGTTCACAAACTAAGTGCCGCGGCACACTTGAAAATTGGCCCTATATTTTCATGTTTTATAAATTTATAAAGGTCATGATAATCATTTAGGGTGTCGCGAGACTAAAGCGAGACTTAAAGCGAGAAACACTGCTTTAAACAATTTAACAATTTAAATTACTATAGTAGTTCCGATTTTTAACATTACATTAACATGCAGATTTAAAGCTGCAGGACTTTACAATTTAACTAAGAGTCGTTCATATTTGTTGTGCATAACCCATGCTAACCCGCTTTTTATCTTAATTGAAATACTTATAATACTCACTCATTACATTCATCTGTTTTCCATAAATCGAGTTTAGTTTTTCTGTCAAAATCAAGTATTTTTCCAATAGTATTTGTGTTTTTTAACCCTGAATTAATTGTTACACTTTTTTTTGTGGCACCTCTTCTTGGCGCTAGTATTCCAACATCTTCAGGAGTAAAATCCCATTTAATTTTGCTAATTAAATTCATAAATTCATCTCTATATCCAAAAAAGTAGTCTTTGATGCTTATATTTTGAAATTCTTTGGGTTTTGTTATTGATAAAAGTGTATTGAACCCGACTTTTGAGAAAAATGATAATTTTGCTACATTAGGTATGGCGCTAATTAAAGGAATATTTGGTGCAATGATTGTGTCGTTTTCTAAAAGTAGTCCCGACATTTCTGGGATGAATCTATGAGTTCGATTTTCCTAAAGATTATCATTAAAATTTTAATCATATAAATTCAAAAAAATAATACGAAATTCCTAATGCTTTATCAACTTTAGCGTAATTTTGTTGAAGCGATCAGAATTTCCGTAGGAATATAATGCAAGTCAAAAACAAATAATTAAACATAAAAACTTTATTTTACAAATGAAAAGCATAAAGTCCAGGAGGTAGATTTAATTGGAAGACTAAATGAAAGACTCAAAACTTTTAGCAATTTTTCAAAAATTCTAATTTGTTAAAACGCACACATCACGTTTTTGTATATTAAAATTAGTGTGCTGGGGTAAATACGGTAAAAATATATAATTTGGAAAAAAAATCATAATTATAGTTTAAAATTTAAAGACAATCTTCGATCGCTCAATAAATCGATATAAATGAGCGGTTAAAACAAATATTGAGCTCTCTAAGATATCTGATTGCAAAGTTTTATGACGTGCCGCAAATGATCGAATAAACAACATTAATAAGCTACCTTTTAAAAACCAAGTTTCTAAAATGCGCTAAAATTGTGATTAAAAACTTCAAAACCAAATGATACATACAAAATAAGTAATCCTATCTTCATTGTATTGCACATTGATCTTTTGTAATGGTTCTTCATATACATATGGACCAACTTCTGTTATTTTAATTTTCTTTTCTGTTCCTGACATAAACTCTTTAATATTTGTATAGTTGAACACATAAACTTTTATGATAGGTGAAAAAGGTGGATTTAAGTACCAATCAAGCATTTCCGAGTTGTTCCGAAGAACTATTTTCTAGATGAAAGTAAAGATATGAGTTATAAGTTTTGAGTTTAATAATATTGAAAATATTAACATGCAAAAGCTAAATAATTAGTCTGAAGATATTGCAATTTTTGACAACTCCATATTAATATGAAATAAAAAGTTTAACAATTTAACAAGATCATGATTAAAAGTAATTTAATTCATTCGAATTCATCTAAAAGTTAACTCCATAATTTCTTTGAATTAAATAATATCTGAATCAGATATTCTTAATTGCAGTCCTTTAAAGCAACTGATCTTATGTTTGAATAATGTGTGAATTGAGTATCGAAAAAAAATTCCGTTATGTTACTGACCTCACTCAAGAGATGCGTTAATGATTTATTTAAACAAGTGGAATTTTATTTTCATTAATTGACACAATCGAATCATTTCCAACCCACTTGGTAAATTATTTGTTTTAATTATTCACTTTTAATTAAGATTGTTAACAGAAAAAAATTTGCTTTAATGATAAATTTGTCTCCTAAACTGATTTTTAAAATCTTTTATAAGAAATTATAATTTTTTAAATTTGAAAGTATGACTTAATTTCAACCTAAAATAATTAATTAGCATTCTTATGTGCTCATACATACCTGAATTATTATTTGATTATACACATCAGTAAGCCAAAAAAGAATCATTAGTATAAACGACAGCAGCGAAACTAAACAATTTATGAGCACTCGTACGTCTGCAAAAAATATATTTTATTTTTTAAGAGTTTTGATTACAAATTAATATTTCCTTTAAGAAATCTTAATAATTTTTGATTAGAAAGTCATCCTTAATAAAAATAAAATTAAGCCGAAGTTCTATAATGAATTGTTTAAATTTTAAGTTTGAACTTAAAAACTTTTTATCGCTCACGAGTTTAAAATTATTGTCTGTTTATCTTCAAGGATTTTAATAAAAAAAAGTTTTTTACCCAGTAAAATGTGACACAATTTAAATGAGACATATCTTAGTCATGCACTCACGGCATTGAAAATTGATTGGCCAACTTGATAAGTTCATTAACTTGGCATCCGCTTATCAACTAGAGATGAGTAAAAGGCAGTGAATAATGATTTGGCATATGTCATTTATATATTCGTGCGCTACATCTTTTGTACATAACATGTAAATCGTGAACAAAAACAAAAATGAAAACACTCACTATAATTGGTAATCAATACCTTGAATCATTTTTTAAAATTTTTACAAGCTTATTGTCTTTGATTGAATTAAAGTTTACTTTGAATTACATTATAGACTTAAAAAATTCGCTACGCACTAACACGGTATGGAGCATATGTCATGCTCAGTTACTTTTTTAATATTTATGTCTTATATGCATAAATCTTTCAAATAACCTTTGAAGAAGCAATACATGAAAGCAGTGTAAATTTATATTTGAAACTTACTTAAATTTTTAATATCACGAAAATTATTATTTTCATCTTTTTTTAAAAACAAATTTTTTGATTTTTTAAGTAACGGTTTACACGTTTCTGATATCGATAAACTTTTTGTCGTTTCTTGGGCTTTTTTGTTTTCCATCGTCACTATAAGTTTGACCGCTCGCGACTAGTGTAATGTAAGAACTAAATCTTTTTCGTACGAAAGATGAGGAACAAATTGAAAATTTTGTGATTCCTGGATAAAAGCACCTTCGTTTCTCTCTTTTCTCAACACAACGATAAGCATTGAGGGAAGGTTGCAAAACACATAAATTGAAAAGTGACTCACTTACATAGGTATATAGTTCCAAAAATTATTAAAGTGGTAGTTTTAAGACATGTTAAAATAACACATATTACAAACGAATTTTAAACTTTTTTGATACATTCAAAAATAAAACTACATGACACTTTATATGAACACTCCTCTCTTTATTTGATATTGCTAATTTTTAGCATGCTTTAATGATTAAGTGTTTTTTTTTTCTTTGTGTGACTTCTGTAGAAATAATTCAAGTTCTTAAAATAAAGTTTTTATTAAAATCAAAATTTGTGTTTGAAAATTATATCAAGCATGGTTTTAATTCAATTTTTACAGATAAATTAGTCGTGGTCACAAAAATTTAAGCAAATTATTTGATTAATTACAATTACGAACATTATTAGTAAAGATGCAAATGTTTCATTTGAATATTGACGCTTAATATGTGATATTTTGCATTCATGTGTTCATTTAAAGAGCTGTCAATGACTTTAATGTATGTAAAGTATCAGAATGCATTTTCAAAATAAATTTAAATAAATTAATGCAAGTTTCGAAAGCATCATATCATTTTTCCTATGAACAAAAAGTATTTTCTAATCTAATCTAGTAGCGATGTTTAAGGGTAGCTAATAAATGACGTTTAGCATTAAGAGTAAGTTGAAATTTAACAATTTTAAAACTTTATAAAAATTATTTGCAATGCATTTCATTAAGATTTTAATGAGTAGAACATTTAAGTTGCGTGTTGTTGAAGAACATGTTAATTGAGTTCGCTTTTACCCCTTTTTAACTAGTCAACTGATTTTCAAGTTCAAAGCAGACTGACGTTAAAAAGTTGTTCTGTTATCATTGATTGCTTCCATTAAGACAATGACTGGAAAATACAGAAAAGCATGCTTTTATAAAGAAAAAGCAAATTAATTGATAAGTCATTTGCAGTTGCGGTATATACATTGAAGGACAACGAAAAAATAATTTACGGAATAATATATAATAATCAATTAAGACATAGATTAATTTTAATTTTCAACGCTTTTTTACCACGTTTTTTTTCTAATTTTTATTCAGGATTTTTTTATACATATTCTAAAAATAAAGAACATTTTTTCAATTTACCTATTTGAGTTTTAAAAAAATTAGTTTTAAAAGACGTTTAGACAATTAGGGTATTAACAATTATGCTTGCTTCTGGAGTATTATTAAATGGAAAATCGAATTAAAATAATGAACAACAGATTAACAGGAAAAATATAAACTTAGTTTAAATACTTAAAAGCATTTAATATTAAAAATGAATCAATATTAATAAAACATATAATTCATTTTGAAGCAGGAAATTTTAAAAATCTCAAAGAATGCGTAGAAGTGCAAAGCAAGTGAAAATTGTGTTGACAGATCTGTGACTGACAAAATAACAAGTGACATGTAAAAGGCAATAACTGATCGCATTTCTACAAAAAAAATAATATTTTTAAACCAAAGTTTTCATCACAATTTAAAGCTTTTTTAAACTACTCATTAATAACTCAAAATAATAATTTATTAAGGCCCACGTGAACTCTCTGAATTAATCAATTTCCAATTTTCTAAAACTTCCAACACTCTCAGATGACTTCTTCATTCCAGGGACTTTATTCCAATCAACTACTCGAGCTTTAATTTCTTCTAATTTTGGACGAACGGTTTTAAAATATTTTTCAAAATATTCCTTATGCTCTTCTTCTGAATACTGTCCTCCGTACTCTTTAGGCAATAGTAATGGATCAAAATGACTTTTTAAATCATCCATGTCTCTAGCAATTGTAATGCGTTTCTTTAATTTATCATTCAACCTAGACCGTGCTGCTTCTAATAAAAATAATGCAAATGGTGGGAGATTGACAACGTAAAGTTTCTTATGTCGTCCAACAGAACTTTTAATGCAATCAGCAAAGTCAATAACATCAGTAACTGAAAACATGCTGGTTTGCTTCATTGTCATTCCTTCATGATCTATAATCGTTGCTGTACCAGCAATTTGAGTTTCTTCTTCTTCCAATAATGCTGTTGATACTACGGCCGATAGTCTGAAAACAGAACAAAAAGACAATTAAAAACTAAAGAATAAATAACGTGACATTTGAATTTTTAAAGCATTTAAAGTCATATGATTGAAGTTATTTAATAAATTTGCAAATACATAAAATTCCCAATGCATAACGATGACCATGATTTTTTTCATGAATGATAAATCCATTTGGCAAAACAATATGAATCATCAGTTATAAAAAAAGCCTAGTAATCATGACGAGAAGGATTAAGAAAATATGTTGATTAAGTTGTAAAATATTTTTACAAAACAGAATTAATGTCTAAAATATTTCCATAGATTTGTTAAAGCATAACATTACCAGTGAGAAAGGACATTAATGAAAGAAGGTTTTAGAATAACATTAATCAAAAAATGGGCACATTTCTAAAATTGTTTAATTCCTTAAAAATTGAGACTCCATTACCTGAACGATCCCCAAGCAAATCATTTAACTGGTCAATAAATCCCCAAACAATCCATTTTTTGCTTACCTGATTGCATCAGCAGATGTGAATCGTTCTGGATCAAGTTTACTTAACTGTATAAAAATTACTTTCCTGCCTTCTTCGTCACGATCCCGCAATGGATAAATGTAACCATTTTGGTAGAGATCCATCATTTTATCAAAATCTTTTTCTACTATGTCAAACCATTTTGCATATTTTTTCTGTGCCAGGTTGTAATTTTCAAATGATTGAAAAGCTAAATCCATTGAATATTTTTTTGTACGTAGAAATTGCAGAAGGAAGATATCATCTAAGTTTTAAAATAAAATAGTAAAGTTGATAAAAATGTTTGGAAGTTATTGAATGTAACTACTTGCCTTGTCTTATTTGCTTTATGTATGGATGCTTCTTAATCCATTCACGAAAGTGTTCTAAAGCCTGTTTCTTTCTACTTTCATCTTCTCTTAATTCCTTCCTGGCTTTCAACACAAATTTTTCATCCATTCTGATTTAATTCTCTTCAATCTAATTTAATGAATAAAATAAAATATGAAATGAAACAAAAATATTGTACTTTATAAAGAACACATGTATATAATACTGATGTCACAAAAATATGTTAATAAATATTAATTTATTTTGATTATTAAATGTTATTGCTAATATTATGTTTTTATATATTTATTTGTAAAGGTTTTAAGCACGTTTTTGCTAAAAAATTGTTTTAGGTACTTTAAAAATTTTTTTAATTAAATCTTCAAAACACGAAGCTATTACTTAATTAAAAAGGCAATTAATTATAGATTATGTAATTGATACTTTTACGTAATTTTAAAGAACCCCCGAAAAAGGTAAACAATTTTTTGTTCCTGGCCAACTTTATTTATACGTCATTTTCTGAAATTGGGTATTCCAATTTTTTCTTCTTCCATGAGTACTGAGCAGTGTTTTCTTAAGATTTTAATATATGCGTCATTTTAGAAGGTCAACATCTTTATAATGTAAACAATGTCATTCGAAAACCACACGCTGTTTAGGATGCCTTTGATTAGTGATAATTAAATAGCTAATTTACATAAATCTTAACAAAAAGTTTTGTGGCATAAGTTCATAATATTCATTTACTATCAAATAAATTTTCATCCTCTATTAATGCAAAAACTTCTGGTTTCTAAATACATAGTTTCTCACAGGAATTATTTTTATGATCAGATAAATAAAGATTAACTTTCAACTCTTAGCATGATGGCAAAGTTTCTGCACGAGATTTTAGTAGAAAGTTTTATGCCATAATATTTATTTCCGCATCATTTCTAAAATGTAAATTTTTTAAATTGATGGTTCATGCAAATTTTTATTATTAGCTGATCATCTTGCATTTTTGTCTGTTTTTTCGTAGATAAGTTTATCTAATATGTGGTCATATGAACAAAAAATATTTCGTAATCTGATTTTTTTTTTAAAAAAAATCAATTTTAAACAATTCAATAATTAATTTTTCGTTTTTAATTCTTTTTGTTGAATTGATGTACATTTTTTGAACAATGCGGTAGTAAAAATTTTGACAATGAGCTTAAAACAATCTTCAATAATTGAATCACACAAGCACTGTACTTTCGATTTTTCTGAATTTTAATTTATTTTATTTTAAACACTTTTCAACTTGAATTACTGCAGATTTAAGAGTCTGCAAAAAGTTCGTTAAACTTGTATATTTCCTATATTTGCTTCAACACAGCTTTAATAAATATGAAAATATTTCCGCAATTGAAGCACTAATGATCAACAATTTTAATCGCAGGTTTCTGTAAGTGATGCTTATGGACTTACATTTTGAATTAGTAATATGTGAACTGCTTTTACAAAAAAAAACTATTAAATATTTCCGATTACAATATTTGCGACTTGCCTTTTGCACAGCTGATCATAGACTGACTGCAAAATATAAAATGATTAGAAAAATACCTCTTTTTGAAGAAGAGCACCAAACAGTAAGCTCACGTGGGAACACTTAAAAGCAGACGCTCCAAAAACTTGTTATTGCTTGAAGGATTTTTGAATTGTAAGCATAGCGTGTTGATAATGATTTCTACACAATTTACAACTATGTATTTTACATTTGTTCTTTATGAAATTAATTCCCGGCTATTAATAATTAAACTATCGCTAATAATTAAAATTTATATAATTTAAAGAATAACTATTATCCACCGATTATATCCACAAATAAGATTTTTTATTGCAAAAAAAATGATATTAAGATGTGCAGAAAAGTTTTAAGATATTGCAAACTCCAATATAGCCTCTTAACTTTCACTTTCCAAACAGGATTGAAAACAGTTTTAAATATATATTTTAGCTTGTTCACATAAAAATCATGAATGCATCTTTTCTTGATTCCTGGTGAGGTTAGCGATCAGCATTTGAATTTTTAGAAACGTGATCTTGATGATGAAAAACTTAAATTTGTTGAATATTAAGTCATTTACATATTTGATAAGGTTTGATCTTGAAATATTTAAGTCTGATTTTATCAGTTCCATAAAAATTCAAGGGTTAAGATCAAATTATGGATAATATAACTTTTTCATCAGAAACAAAAGAGTTTTTCATTAAATGCACATCTCTTGGTAAAAGTTGTTTTTTATTTTGAAAATAAACTCCAAATAAGCCTTAACATTGATTCATTTGATTGGTTTATAATCGGCCGTAATAGATTAAACTCTTTTTGTGAAAATTTAGGATTTAGTAAATAAGCATGTATGGTTCAGTTATCCATAAATTTTATTTTGAACAATTTTGCAAGTTTTCTATTTTAAGATGTATGTATCTATAAAGACTTAAATTGATTTTGTTCATTTATTATTTTTTAAATTTGCATTTTCTATGTTAAGTTTCTCTGAACTGACCTTGGCTACAAGCAATAAAGAAGATCTACAGTTTTTTTAATCTTAACGTAATATGTTAATCAGTTAAAAAAATATTGACCGAAAATGCAGATACACGCGAATGTGCAAAACCAGAAATTATAAACTCATTGCAAGACTAACGTAGCTTATCGACATAATATTCCAAAATATATTTAAGTACTTTGGCATTCAAATCACATCTTAGTTCTCTTTACAATATGTTTGTCGAATAATTTTAGACAGAAAACGTCAAACAATAGCTGTTGTATGTTGTTGAAAAACATAATGTGCTAAATATTTTCTTGTTAATTGATTGAAATAATGGTTATAATTTACCCATCCTATCACGATTATAACGATAAATAATATGTGCGTCTCATTACATTTTAAAGTAAAAAAATTATATCACTAATGACTACTTCATACTCACAATTTAATATGCTACAATCAAATTGCTGTTGATGTACTGTAATAACCGATCGTTATGTAAAGCTTATTAAATACAGTCACTCGAAATTCCCGCTTACTTTTTGTGTCGAAATGTTTTGTATTTTTTTTTATTCAACACGTGATCTTTCTTTCTTTCTTAAATTTGTAAACGTGAACCATGTGAAGAGAAGATCAAGACTAAATAATGAAAAAAAAAACTCAGATTGAAAAAATGCTCTTCAACTATGTTGGATTAAAACTTATATGCAACTGCGAAGAAAGCAGCGTTAAAGCAACGGAACTAAAGAAGAAAAAAAAACTGAAGAAAGTTTCAAGGTTGCGACATACAAAATGACTCGATCGGTAAATGAGTACGAATTTGTGCAGTAAACCTACTAAAAAGTTAATGCTCCGAGAAAACATGAGAATCTCTTATAGAAAAATGAATCTTATGATAAGAGATGAGATTCTCATCTCAGGATGGACTGAAAAGAGAACAATTTTTATGAGAGAGAAATCGTCTCATTTAGTAAATACACATTCGAGACACACGTTTGAAAAAAATTATTCCGTTATGGTTTGTATTGAAATTGAGGCTGCTTTTATTCATTCAAATTTCTTCTTTATGACACTTTATGACTCCTTTTTGGCATCATTTTTCAATCACTTGTTAAGGATTTAGTCATGTTCTTTGCATATATCTTGGCTGGGAGGTCTACATCAGGTATTCTAGTAAAATTGTTCAAGTTGAAAAAACTAGTAAAACGAAAACCAGTCATTCAGATTGGGGCGACTTCAGCATATTTTTGCTGCAAAAATCAAATTTCAAATTTTTATTAAAATATTTTTTACCATCATATCAATATGATGGTTATTATAAGCTAAAATATACTTGTCTATAAAAATAATGTTTAAATTCTTTTAAACAATAAAAGAAAAATGATGATTTTCGCAACCATCTGAAAAGAAATCAAATTGAATAAAATAATGGCAAAGTTTATTTTTAAAGTCTTTTGTTTATTTAAATGTCTCATGCTTTATTTTTCAAGAAGTAAGCAATTCACTGGTAGAAGTCTTTAACGAAATACTAGCTAAGTTTTTGATTGAACTTGATAATGGTTTTTATTTTATTTTTTGTTATGATTTAAGTTTCTGAAAAACATGTTTGGATTAATTTTTATATTTTTAACAAAACTTCATTGCATTTGAACATTTTCATGTAATTTCATCACTATAAACATGTCAATTGGACCCCAAATAAATTATTCTGCTTAATTAAATGTTAATATGTATTGATCGTAAGTGTTGTCATTCTTCATTTAAACAATAAAAAACTTATCACCTTACAATTATATTGGATTATGAGGAGAAATTTCATTAAATAAAATTTTTCTTGTGCACACATTTATGTCACTAGCATTGCATTCTATATTTTTTATATTTTTTTGTGATATATAGGACGGTTTTATGGACTTCAATCTAAAAATCACTAAAATGCAGCTTCTCTAAAATGCAGATTGTACTGCCGAGATGCAGATGGTACTGCTAAAGTGCAGATGAAATTCTGTTGCTTTAAAAAAGGTATAATGCAGATGATTTTTATCGTATAAAGTGCAGATAAGATGCTGCCCAAATGGAGATCGTATAATTTTATTAAAATAAAGATGAAATACTGTTATAATGTAGTTATTTTAACGTCGGATATTAATTTTACCTTCGAGACAATTTTTCACTCTTGTGAATCGTTTGTCACTCGCTTGTGACTCATTTTAACTCATTTTTCACTCAGGGGTGGAAAAAAAATTTACCCTCAAGGAAATTATTCACTCAGGGTTAACAAAAATTTTACCCTTGAGTTAATTTTTCACTCAGGGTTAAAAAAAAATTTTACCCTCGAGACAATTATTCATTCAGTAGAAACCCAATGTAGATATATTCGCACCGTTCATTCAAAAATCTTGTGGATAGACCAAGCTGTGGTATGCATTAGTTTTGTACGGTAAAATTATACGATAAAAAATCATCTGGATTATACATTTTTAAAGAAACAGCATTTCATCTGCATTTTACGAAAAATAAATTTAATCTGCACTTTAGCAGTACCATCTGCATCTTGGCAGTACAATCTGCATTTTAGGGTAGCTGCATTTTAGGGATTTTTAAAATTAAGGTGTATTATGGATGAAAACATATGCTTGAAATTATATTACCCTGTGTTTTTCAATATCATTTATTGTTATAGTTTGCGGTAAACATTGTATTTAATAATAGATAAAAAAAATCAATAATGAAAATTGAAAATTTTTGATAAAAAAAATTGAACTGAATAGCTCTATTTTAGAATTATGCTTAGTATTTTTCATTAACGAGTCTCACTTACCAGTTATTTGCATTTTATAGAACCTTATTTTTATTTTATAAATTTATTTAAAAGCGAGAAAATAAATTATTTTTTAATTCTAAAGCTTTCAAATTTATTCATAGTATTATTAATTGGAAATTTTTACGTTTTTTACACTATCACAAAATTAAATCACAAAGCTGAATTTTTTTTCTTTTACTTTTATTTTTAGAAAAAATGTACGAAAGAAATTTTTAATCAATTATTAAAATTGTCTACTTCCAATTAGTTTTATCAAACATTTTGATCTATTTCAATTTTTTTACATCTAGCAGATGATTATTTATTTTATTCAGAATACATTCAATTCAATAGTTTATCACAAATTTAGAGAAATTAATTTTTTTTTCAACACTTTTTGGACTCAATAATGTACGACATATATGTTCATCTGAAAATTAAAATTTAATTTTTAAAGGGAACATTTCTTTTAATTTTTCAATAGACTTTTAAAAAGATTGAACGAAACAAAAAAATTAATTTATTGAAAAAAGTTTCTAAAGTTTTCTTATCATGAAGGTTTTCGAAATGTCAGAACAATTAAAAAGCTTTTAGCAACATATTCTTTTCATCTTTAATAGAATTATACTCTGCTTTTGTTATTATTATTGCTACTTTAAAAGGTAATAAAGCAATCTTTTATATTTTCCTTCATCTATTGTATTATTAAAAAGTTTTATGATTTTTTTTTTCATTTGTGTTTTATCGATTTTCAAAGATTTTTCACTTCTGAAATTAAATTTTTATTATCATTATAAATGTATTTATAGTTTATTTATTTGAAGGCGATTTTGGATTAGATTGTTAAAGGATAGAGAGCTTTTAATGATGTGAAGACACTATCTAGGAAGGTTCTCTAATTTTTTACAACATTATATCTAGTATTTTTTACGAATATATCTAAAAAAATGCCTAAAGCCTACATATTAGAATTTCAATTTTATTGGGACAAAATATAATTTTTAAAGCAATAAAAATATTAAAAAGGTCAATTTTTCAGAATTATCACAATAATAATTATTTTACTAATTTTTACATAAAAAAAATATTACTCAGGATCAGTTGATGAAGTCATTGATAGGAGTTCTATTCCATCCAGCAACGGTGTTTTCTCTTCGCCATTACATGTTGAATTTGAATTATCTTCGGAGTCAAAGCTTTTCACAAATCTCTTAAAATCTTCTTCATGAGATGATGTTTTGAGCAATGATTCGGTCAAGCTGCTACATTCCTCATCACTATTACACTCATCATTTGTTGTGGATGTAATTGTCGTGTTATCAATATTGGATTCATCATCATTTGATGAGCATGACTGTGATAATTGTTTTGCAGCACTACTTCCAATATCAGACAGTGTGTCGAGTTCAATTATTGCATTTTGTTTGAATTTTGCTAATGAGAAAAATAATCGATCTGAACGCATCCGTCTTGATGAATGTGTTGTTGTTGCCGGGGATGAAACTTCAAGTGATAAACTAAGACTAGATTCTTCGTTTAATTGAGAACTATTCATAGTATCATTTTTATCATCTTCATCGTATTCTTCGTCATTCTTCTGGCATTCTATCATTTCGTAAATTGACTCATTTGACTTTATCGTAAGATTATTTTTATTGCATTTTAAAAAGCTATCTTTCCAAAGTGTACTCCTCTCCTTTCCTGTCATTGTTGATGTAAAATGCTGCAATTTTATTGGTGATGTATTTGCACTTTTTATTACTTTATATTTTTCAATATCACATGATAAGGATGTTGTTACTATTATAGGCGTAAATGCGGATTCAATTCGTTGCTCCTCTTCAAATGATCTAAATTGCTTGGTATTAACTTGGTTCTTTAAGTGATGATGCGATGCTGTCATATCCTCAAATGACGATACTCGATATTTTTGAGAAAATACCTCTTGAGTCGTTGCACATTTACGTATTGGAGATGAAGTGTAGATATAATTTCCAGTTGAATGATCATTAACGATTAATTTCGGTGGATCTAAATAGATACATGTCTCTTTAATATTAGTCCCATGTAATGGATTTATATGATGATGGGATATTGATGATGGTCCAGGAACATTGAGATCATTAAGTGATTGTGTAAAATTATCAAAAGGATGGCACGGAGAAGAACATGCTGAGCTGTTTGAATCAATAAATTTAAAATTACTACTGCCGCATACTTTACATAAACTATTTCCATCATAAAGATGATGATGGTGCATCTTAGCATCATCTTCAACGCCTTCATCGATCGGCGAAGAAACGGACTGAAAACTACTCAATTTAAAGCTAGACGCTCGTGATAATTCACCATCAGTCATGCTTCCGAATGCAGAATCTTGTGATGGATTACTGCAACCAATCTTTATGCCACGCATTGAATATTCAGTTCGCCGAGTCTTTGTGGTCTTATATGCAGAGGATGGATCTAATGATGACGAAGATTGATTACATTGCGTTTGGCTTGATTGTTTTTGCAATAAGTTCGGCTGTTGCTGCGATGATGTTGATGATATTGATGACGATGCTATTCCTTCCTCAAAGCTACTTATTCTTATAACAGTCCCCTTTTCATCAATCGACAACTGATGCTTGTGAGAGGTACTTGTGATGTTAGATGATGACGATATCGATGGTTCACCATTATCACAATAATGAATAGGAGATATTTGAGTGCTTAATGTTGTTACAACAATCTCATCGAGATTATGATCTGATTCACTCATCGTTAAGTCTTCATCTCTTCTGTGTGGATGGATTTTTGTTCATTATTATTCACATTGATAATGACAGGAAGAAAGAGAAAATAAAAGAAGAACATGAAAAAAAGAACGTTAGAAGCTCATAAGAAAAGATTCTTATAAGAATTATTGCATAAAGGGAAATGAGTGGCTTTGGGAGCTTAGTGCAAGGTGTTTAGAAGCATTTTTACAGTGAGTTTTTTTTTTGTTTTATTTTTTTTTAAAGATAAATGACAAATTAAGAAAGAACGTAAATCAAGATAAATATAGTTTTTGAAATATGCAACAACCATACATGCTCCTCTCATTTGCTTTCAAATGGTGAGCAATTTGATACAGGGGCGTAGCCAGGGGGGGCCATAGGGGGCCCGGGCCCCCCCTACGAAAATCTGATAATTGTTTTATTAAGTATTTATAGAGAAGAACCAGTTAATGTAGAGCAAGTGATGAAAGAAATGTCAAAATCAGTACGAAAAATTAAATTTAATGTAAGAATAATGAATTAAATATTTAAACTTATGAAGAATGAATATAGATTTAAGGATACAAAATAACAATTTTTTTTAATTTTCGAAAATGGGCCCCCCCTTAAAAATTTTCTGGCTACGCCCCTGATTTGATAACATTTAATTACATCTAAGCAAGTCTCTACCAATGGAAGTAGCATAATACTTGGAAGCTATAAATCTGAGATAATAAAGGCTTTATAAGCTTCATTATCTTACCTCAACTTTAAAACGACATTGAAAGTGACAGAAAAAAGGGAGGAAGCAATGAAACAGAGTCGAAAAAACTAACATCATATTACAATCCACACTTATATTTTTACTCGTATTCATGTTATGTATTTAATATATAAAAGAATAAATTAAATTCTCAGTTAGACACTTATGCAGGTAGGTAGTCCCAGTTGATGTTACCATAAATCATAAATGAGTTGGTGAATATTCCAAATTAAGCATACATAATAATTTTTCAAACTTTTTTTCTTTACATATTATAAAGAATAAAGTAAAGAACTGCGATTATTATAAAAGTATACATAAATTCATCATGCAAAACGCAAGCTGTGTCCATAGTGATCATACGAGTCTGCAAAACGTGAAGGTGAAGAATGGAAGTTATGTAAACTATATAAAGTTAAAAAATAAATAAAGAACATAGTAATTAATTTAAATTTGAATTAAACAAAAAAGATCAAAATATTCATGCAATTGATTTTCGATTCTTACTTAAGCTCATGCCACTATACGTTAGAATATTTTGAAAAACAAACAGGTTTTTTTCCAATTTTTTCTTAATCTTAAATTTATAAAGATTAAACGTAAATGATAAATGGGAATCATATTGGTAAATGCCTAATAAAACATGAACAAAAAATTGTTAAAGAAACAAAAGAACCATTATTTGCATAAAACAAACTTTGCAAAAAAAAAAAAAAACTTTCTTCTCATTATGTATTATAAAAAGTTCCTTTAATTTTCACTATTCTTACCCATGACGATGCGGTGTAGATGGGGGCGTGCATGGACTGCTGCCTTCAGAAAACGAACCTTGCATGGTTGAATGACGCTTTCTAACTGCATTCAGCAGACTCATGGTAGAATTGCTCATGCTGTGTTTAAATGACTGCAAAGGTATTAAAAAAAAACTTGGCTTAATCTTTCTATACGACGGCAAATTGAAAAAAAAAAGCAAATAGTTATAAAACCCCCCCAAAAAAAACAAACTTACAGGCACGAATATTCCTCGCATTTCTCGTAAATCTATATTGCGGAATAAATCGCAAAGCACTAACTCCTCTAGTGATGGATAGTTACCAGATGAATCAAATATCATTTGCATGATTTCAACCACCTTTAAGTAATTAAAAATGTGTAATTTGAGTAAATTTCTTGAGATATTTCACTTTTTAAAAATAATTTGACAATGAATGAATTATTAGTACCTGTGGGTATCGTTCAAGATCAATCTGTAGATGTGCACGTGTTGGTGATGATTCTGGTAATTCATATCCAGCACACATTTCAAATAACAAATGTCCAAAGCAGATTACGTCAATGCTTTCAATTTCGGTGGACGAACGAGACCACAGCACGGAATTAACGCGTGAACTCAATCCTAATAAATTATTTTCCAAGCCTGATAATCTAAAGTGATTGAATGGAAAAGAAAAGAAGAAATTTTGTGATTTAGAAACTTATGTTGATTTCTTATGGGGATAAAAATATGTCTTTTTTTATCATAAACCGAAAATTTCCTTGAATTAAGTTTCAAATTATGGTCATTTAGAAGTTATAAGGAATTATTTGACAGTTAATTAAAACAAGATAAACTTCCCGCTTTTGTTTCGTTTTCGTAAAATTATATGGTTGTGTGTATGTAAAACTTATGTGTATGAAAATTTTTGTATTCATATAAAAAGGATATCGCGTGATTTTCATCAATTACAAACAGAAAAAACAGCTCAGTCATTTTTATTTAGATTTTTATACTACAATGAAAATAAATTAAACTGATATTTTGCTTCGTCTGTTGTAAATGAAATCAAATAGGAGTATTTGAAAGCTCATCCAATTCCTTTTTCCACTCCCATATTCGCTTAATACATTACATTATAAAAAAGAGAGAGAGAGAGAGAAAGATTTTCATTTGCCTTTTATAGACTTTATATAATGGTAATTGAGACGTCTAATAAATTGAGTATTGATTGATGATGAAATTTTATTCAATATTGATATTTTTCTGTGGGATCAATAGCTCTTCGTATTGTTGTCGAGAATGTTTTTGAAGCTTCTTCAATCTTTCATTTATTCATTTATTATTCATTTTTATCAATCATCAGCAATTTGCATGTACTTGGTTGATGAAAGCTCTCATTAATTACCTTGCAACACCATTTTGTAGTATAACGTTTCCACTATGTAAATGTCCATGCGATGGTATGCCACGATCTCGAAGAAAGAGTAATGCCTCTAATATTTGACGACCTAATCTTTGTACTTGTGACATCGGCAAGCCGCAAGATTTTTTCGTGTACTTTCTAGTATATGGTTCATTCCATTGACTCTTTATAAAAAAAAACATTATAAGAAGAAAACGGTAATAACCATAAATATTGTATCATAAAAAATATCAAGTTAAAATCTCGCAAGAGAGTCATATGTGGAAAGTAAACTTACTTTGTAAATGAGATCCTTGAGACTACCACGTGGATTAAATGGCGTAACTAAACATGCATAATGATGTAATTTAGTATCATAAAATCCTAAATCTAATATTGGATATATGTATGGATGTTGTAGTGATCCAAGAAGCTCCATGAGAACGCCTTGTGGACATTCTGATGTTGGCAGTTCCTCTAAGGCAACGCAATTGGAAGGTAAGGGAAGTAATGTCATTAACCGATCTGTTTTAATCTGGAATAAAAATTTTGCAAAATATAAATAAACAAAATCAACATTGACATTTAAATTCTTTAATCATACCGTACTATCGTTGAGCAAAAACCAATGCTTGTTAGAACGTGAACCAATATCATCTAAATGGGCAATAGCTTCGTATCGTCCACCGGAGCTTATTAGCCATTCTGTGCATGCCGTAAATGCTCTGTCTCGTGCTGCACGTTCTCGTGGACTCCGATCTGTCGCTCCAATTCCACTATCCAGTATCGCGGAATATTGATACTTTATATTGCTCCTATATATTTCATAGCATAAAATAAAAAAAATAAATTATTTGAATTTAGCATCAACAATTGCTGTAAGGGATGAAGAGCGGCAAATGCAGTAATACAGAACAAGCAAATAATTCATGCATCTATTTACTAAGCGTGCACATTTAAATGTAAATGAAAAATTAAAGAAATTCTACCAAAATCATACATTGTATAAAAGCTGATCTGACTTTTACGCATATTTTTTACAAATAAACTATAGCTGAACATAGTTGACTCAAAGGAATTTTTAAGATGGAAAAGGTGAAAATTCGCCTATTAAGAGTGAATCAGTCACGAGAAATAAGATGAGTTTTATTTTTTTTAAATAAAAAAAACAACCCTGCATAAAGGAAAGCAAAAAGATGCATGAACTACATATATTGCTAAAGCACTCATTAATGCACATCATAAGCATCCTTTTTACAAATATACAATTGCAAACAAAATGTTCAAGCAACTAGTCCCAAACAATCAAAAAACCGAACATACATTCTACATTAGTATTATGAGAAGCGTGCATCATAAAAGCGGTAAAGAATTCACGCAAAACAAAACAAAAAAGAAAAGAATAATTCAACGTAAGAAAAGGTTATGAAAATAGAACGAAAAATGTACATAAAGCAAATTTTCATTTGTGGCATGCTTAGCAAACGAAAAAAATTTAAAATTTTATAAAAAACTTCAACAGTTTTGTGTTTTATTCCCAAAACTTTTTATATTGATTTTTTATTAAGGCCTGAAAATGCATTTCAATTTATTTTTCAACACATTGTATGATAAATGAAACTTTGTATATTTTTAGATAAAAACGAAAAAAATCCTTGAAAAAAACATTTTATTTTTTCTTTCTCGTCTTGTCTCATATTTTTTCCTTTCGATGTCATATAGATTACAATTTACGATCCATAATAAAGTAAAGGAGCTTTTTAAGTTCTTCTTCCGCTTTTTTTTTTTTGTAAATTTTATTATCGCTCGAATTAAAAGTTATTGTAAAATACACAAGGTAATTTTAAAGCGCAATGTGATTTGTTATGCTATTGAACTCCATTGTCTACATTTTTCCGTTTTTAGGTTTTTGACCTAAAGAACAGTAAGTTAATTATCACAGCCAGACTTTATTTTTTTAATAACATTAAGAGATTATTGTAGATAAAATTAATCAAAGTGATTTCTTTGCTATATGGTATTTTTTGAAAATTATTAACCTTTACAAAAACAAAAACTAATATGTTTAGACATTGACACAATTTTGCTTATAAAAATATTACCGAAATTTCTATAAATACGTTGCTATTGTATGAATAACTATTATCATTTTTTTTATTTTATATTTTTAGTTTCAAGTTTAAAATGTCAGTCTCAAGCACGCATAGCAACAACCTAATATTTTTAGAGTTTTGCCCTTTTCTAAGCAAAACAAAATGATTTTCAAAATGTCATGTTTCTATTTTTGAGCCTTAATTTTTATTTTATTCGTTATGTAATAGATCACAACCTTTATAATTGAAATTTTTTGTAAAATTTCATTTATTCATCAGCATACATTTGGGGGTGATGTATCAAATTATTTATGAAAGGTAAAATTTAAGAAATTCAAGTTCACATTGACCATTTTTTTGAGAATTTAAAGATTAGAAAAATCTACAACAACTATAATGTCTTAGAAAAAATAAAATATCATAGAGACTAGTGAACATGCATGTATGTTTTAAAGCTTATTTTTTAACAGGGACTGTTTTTCATATTTTTTTATTAAAATTTTAAAATTAGTTTTTTCTAGAAGAATTAATATTTTTTTATACTTCGCCTTAATAATTACCGAACTTTAAATAGGGTAAATGACCTTGAAATTTGCGCAAATTCACACAAGAAAATTTCATTTGCTTCAAGCTCTTCGGAGGATTGAAATTGAGCCCTACTAACGATCTTGAAATGCAGGGAATCATTGATATTTTTGTTTTTCTATGGATATAGGAAGCTCTGCTGTGTCAATGCCAAGAAATTTGACTTTCAAGTTTGAACTTTGAAATTTGCGCAGAAAACTTTGAAATTTGCGCAAAAAAACCTTGAAATTTGCGCACTTTTTTGACAGCAATATTGAAACTTGCAAAAAATATTGTTGAAAACATATCCAATTTTAAAATACATTAATCAAAATATAAGGGAAATGATGATCTATATTACCAAATTATATGATTAGATTTAGTTTCGTGAAAATCCGTGAAAGCTTAATGTTCAACAGGACAATCTTAGATGTATTAGGAGTAAATTCCAGCGTGGAAAAAAAAACACTAGATAAATGGTTTCAAAATAGTTCAAAAGCACATAATAAATTTAAAAAGGAACAAGCAAAATGATGTATCCATAGTAATTCAATTTTAAAATTTAGTATAAAGTCTAAAAGCTATCTTCATTTTATTGCCTTTTTTGGCCGACCACGTTTCCTGATTACTTGAGTTGATGCTTCATGTTTTTCCTTTTTAATATTCATAATTTTGTCACGCAATTCTTTCTTTTTTTCTCGGTCAATTCATTTTTGAGCTTTCATATCCTCAAGTTCCTTTAATTTTTGAGCAGTTTCCTTCAAATCTTCTGTAGTTTTTGGATCGCCTTATTTGGCTGAATCTATACACCACTTTGCAATTTTGACTTCTTCTTCAGTTGTAAGGACCTTTATTTTTCACTGCGCAAATTTCAAAATTTTTCGTAAAATCTGCGCAAATTTCAAGGTTCAAAAACAAGCCATTTTAAAAATGAAATTTAAAGCAGTTCCAGGTATCATTTTGAATTGGAACCATTTGAAAAATGTTAAGCAATGTCAGATCTACATTTTCTGATACCAAAATTTAATCTATACCAATGCATGCATCTCAAAATCAAAATGTAAAGAAATTTAAGTTTTGTATGGGAGTTTTTGGTAATAAATTATTTAGCTTTCTAGTGCCTTAAGACCACTAAAAATTATAAAAAAACATCTGTGCTTGTGTTCTGCAGACATTTCCCATTGATCGTCTGAATAGAAGTGCAATTTTCAGATATAATTTTGAAATTTTCGTTTTCATACGAGTGCGCAAATTTCAAGGTTGCGCAAATTTCAAAGTCATTTACCCTACAGTTTTTGGTTTAATATTAATTTTTTAATTGAAATAGCGATCTGATTTTAAACAAAAACCATTAATTTTAAATGAATTTAATTTTTTGTTAAAAATTATAATCCCGAACAGTGATGGATGTCGAAAATTTTTCAAATATTTATTTTGTAAATTTTTCATTTATACAGATCGTTAACCTGATTGCTGGGTTGTCAAAAAAATTTTTGTTAGATGCTTGTCATGATGACAATGTATTATTATTATGACTGATGATATTCATCAAATATGATTTAATTTATAATAGACGATATCAATTTTTTTTATTGAAAATAAAAATTTTAAATATAGAGGTATGAACAAAAGGGATATAAGATGAAATAGCAAATAGAAATAAACTACAAAAGGAAAGAGCAAGGCTTTAGTAATCAGGATTAATTTCAAAAAAATTCTCAAAAGTTTCGAAAAATTCTTGATGCAGGAAGTAAGATATTCAAAAACTAAATAAATCTCGTTCGTATTTAATAAATTGTTTAGAGATTCATCAAGATTTCTAAGAAAACTTACTTCCTTACCTAGAAGATTTTCGGAATTTTGATGATTTTAGTGTTAAAAATCTATGACCTTAAAGCCTTGGTAAATTATTGAATAAGGTGGAAAAGTAATAGAAGAGACGAAGAATAATTTATGTTTCTTGCATTCATTACTGAAATTTATGTTATATCTACATGATAGTTGATTTTTTAAAAATCTATATAGCAATAGCTTAAGATAGATGAAAGGTCTTGGGATTATTTGAAAGAATCATTACAACAAGATGCAAATACATTAAATACACTATACATTAATAACAATTAATGCAATGAAAAGGAAGAAATTAATAAATGAAATTCTTTTTCACAACCTCGTTGGTGAATCACTATCCCTATTCAATCCGTTGTCTTGTGTACTCAAGCTTCTATTGAATAAAAGTTTTGCCAACGATTTAGTGCTAACAAGTGGTGATTTTTCTGAATGTTCCGATTCTGAATTATCTTGTTCAGAACTTACAGAACGACCTCTGTAATTAGTTCAAAATTTTAATAATCAGAATTAATTTTATTATACAAGTTTTAGTTGTTCTCTAAGGAATGAATCAGTAAAGTCTTTTCAAGATTACAAAAGATACAAAGCGAGATTTATTAGCACGAAACTTAATGTGTATTCGTGAAAAAAAACATAAGACGACTTAATGGCTGACGACTTCCAATTGATTTTCTTTGTAAATGTTCACTGTTGTTTGTTCATTTAAGAATTTGCATAACAGCGGAGAAAAAATGCAATACAGAAGATGGTCTGGAGAAAAAGTAATTTACTAAACGCAAAACAATCCACTGTTACACTTCTGATTTCTTGTTTCAAGTGTCTACTATAAAACTGTTTGATAAACTTGTAATTATTTTTGAGCGCTATGCTTTTTTTTAATTTGAAGGCTCAGCAATTTATATATATATTTTTTAAAATTTTGTTGAGTTACTTATTAGTTTTGTTTGCAACCTGTTTCATTCATAAAACTTCCCACTTTTATTTCGAACGCAATTGATGCAACATTGTGAATCACTAAGTAAAAATCAATATAAACTATCAGAAGCTCCACAGGATGTCTTTCGGAGTTTTGTTGTGTTGTAGAAAATTATTTAACAGCTTTATGCCCGATTTACGAAAACAAGTCTTCGAGCATATTATTTTAACAAAAAAAAACACACACATACAAACTTGAATGAATATCATCTCATGTAAACTTTTGTAATCTTACATCCCCAAACGACTTCAATTTCATTCAATAAATGAACGAAGATAAAATGAATGAGAGTATGATTAAAAATATTGAAAGAGAAGAATATTTTCTTCGGAAAGTATGTAAATGGACAAGTAGATAGAAAAAATTATTTACCTAAATAAATGCCTTTTATTAGCTGCTGTAGCCGTACGTGTTTCGAACTCAGTTTGTGATTGTGTACGTCGTACGTGCTTTCGTTTCTTCTTACGATACGAAGATCTGAGGTTTTATATAAAAGGAGCAAACAAATTTTTGCACCCACACAAAACATCAACAATTTCATAACGCGCGCGTGTATAATGGCGTGTAATAGCCCATCATGTTCAATGGTATATCATAAATAAATATAAGAATATTTTTCATGAAAATTTATTAGTATTGTTGGAAGAATATAGAGAGATTATTATGTGATGGAAAGGCAGCATAAGGCCAATGAAGAAATTGAGAGGAACAAGAAAATAGGAAAACTTCTGTTAATTTCCACTTGTGAAAATTTTTGTTTTTCATACAACATGTGGAAGCACAAATCAAAACAACAACATGAAGAACAGTATAGCATAAGAATGTATGTTAGATGCATGAGATTTCCTTCCGTTTTTCCTTTTTTTTATACATTACTATATTTCCTTATTTCTACAAAATATTTACCAGAGGAAATTAATTCACATACAAAGTGAGAAACGTTAATATTCTAGCACATTATATCGTTATCATGCTACTAAGAAAAATGTTATACATCCGAACCTTAACATTTGACATTGTAATTTGTGTGTGCGCGATGGTTATGTATAAATGATTATTACAGAAGACACCGAGACATGAGGGAAATTAAGGAAATGTAAGGTCGGAAATGTTAAGCAAAATTGAAAAGTAATAATCGCACCTATCATGTTGTTGTGTATCTAAGTCACATTATTACAGATAAAAGTTATTTGACTTTTAACCAAAAATGGATTCTATATATAGAAAACACAAAGCTTTATCCAACAATTTCTTCAATTGAATAAAAAGAGATTATAAATTTGTCATTTATTTTCATACCTCGTTCTTTCCTGATAAAATCGATCATGACCCGTAGTTTCCGGCTCTTTTTTCTCATCAGTTTCGTTATAACGACGTTGCATATGAGAATACATTTGAAACATTTTAAATTGCTTCTTTACATTTGCAACTTCGCAAACTCGAACGATAATTTTTCGACTGCTTTTGAGAACCGAATTAATTGTTTTATTAACCAGTACAGAGACCACACGTTGTGGTGCTGATTGTGATTGTTGTTGGTGGGGTTGTGGTTGATTTTTCGTTTCCTGATTTTTTTGCATTAGATTTCCAAAATTTTAAGGATTAAAAATAATGATTTTTTTGAAATTTTAAATGATTTCATTATTTAATAGATTTAATTCATTAATATTCTCGCTCTGGTTATATAAAAATTATGTTTGTCAAATACAAGTAAATACATAGCACAGGTTTTGAAATCAATGAGAATTTTAATACAGAAACCCAAGAAACCATAAAAATGGTCACGTGGAATTCAAGTTAAATAAGTTCAGCTTTGTTATTTACATAAAATGTTACAGAATTATTTCAATTGAATTAAATCAATTTAAAAAAAAATCATAATCAAATTCTAGATCATTAACATGGTATTGATTAGTTTTTTTTTTATATTCAGAACTTTTACACATTTTTTGAATTGATTTGTTATTTTATTATTTTTTTAATAAATAAAACTCATTCTGAACAATTTTAAAATATTATCAAATTCATACGATAACAAATGAAGACCTGACATCAATAAATCATAATAATTGATATATATTTAGCACAAATGAAGTTCCGGAAATTGACCTATGAATTCGTCAAACGCCTTTACACTTTATTTGATTATTTTTCACGTTTTGAAATAATGACTCATCATAAAGATTAAAACGTCGTTTTCAGAATTAAGAATCGATATGGATTTTTTTGTTGTTAAATTGTGCTTTGCTTTGTGAGATATTTTCGATTTCATTGATTTTTACTAGCACATTGCACAGCACTCATTGTATGCACAGAAAACCTCAAAACATTTCCTTTATTTCACTTAACTCAATCAATTTTTTAACCTTCACAAATTGATCGGCTTTTGTTCCCTTTTCATTCTTCTTCAAACTTTCTTTATATTTCCATATCAACCTAAACTTATGGTAAAATTTGCAACAATGTATGCACTCTTACGTGATTTTTAGCATTCTTTGAATTAACTTTCACGCATATTTTTTTAATTGAATTAAAAAAATTTTTTGCTTAAGTTAAAATTTTCTTCTTCAATTCAAAATTAATTTCAATCAATTTCATATTGTTGAAAAAGAGCCATTTACTCACACAAAGCACTAATTTCGTAATCCTTTACAAATTAAATTTCATTAAAAAGGTCCATTCTGTTTAAATGCACAAAGTAAACTGAATGTAAAATATGAAAACATACGAAGACGTAATGAGTCGAGCAGTAGTAATTTGAAATTGAAGAAAAAGTTACAATAGGACTGAAACGCGATTGTGTCGAAGGGAAAGCGATAAATGTAAAAATTTTTGTTTTTACAATTATTTTTGAATTCTAGAACTTTGTCAATTAAACTTATTGAAAATGTAGAACACTGAAAAATTCTAAGCTATTGTTTTTAAAATCTCGAGTTTTAATCAGATATATTATTGTATTTAAACTAACACTTAAACTCTTGAAGCAGAATTGTATTGCAAATAAATCTTTTGATGCACATGTTTCTGATATAGTTTAATATGACCTTTCTAAATTAAATGTGAAAGGTATTTTATAATTGCTGGAAGCGAGTTTTGAGTGATTAAAATCAAAAGAATCAAAATTAACATTCATAAATTTTTTGATTTTGTTTGGTTAAAACAAATGTTGCTCATCTGGTGTTCTTATTTCTTACAGAATTTTCTACTCAATCAACATGATTTTAGTAAAATTATTTTCTATGGATTTCTTTCAAAACAATCAATTTTCGAGTATTACGTTTGAAAAACATAAAATTTGTTTTGATCATAAGACAGCTTAAGAAAAATTGGCATGAAAAAATAATTTGGCATTAAATAAAAAGAACAAAAACTACAGAATAAACTTATTGCACTTTTGTTTGTAAAACAATTCGAAAAACAAACTCAACTTCTATCTGAAGTAAATAATATTAAACATGTGTATATGTAAAAAAACACCAGATGTTCATGTAGTAAATTACGAAAAGTTATAGCGAAAAATAAACCTACTCAAAATGCTAAGAGCTTTCAATTTAAGAGCTCATAGTATTATTTAAATTTAAAAATTAGGATTATTTAAGATTCTTACTGAAATTTTATTTGACGTCATAAGTGAATTTAGTAATGTCAATAATTTAAATTGATTAGCATGCTTTCATATTTAACTTTTTATAGTGATTGATAACTGGTTGTATAATGAGCTTAGCTTATGCATAATTTAACCAATCAGTACATAGGTAAATATCAACAGCCCAACGTTTCAAATTCCCATTTTTAACCTGAAGCTTTTTAATTTACGAAAAATTTTTTATGTGTTGTTGAGATTGTAATGAAAATTTTTGAAAAAAAGTAAAAAATTGACAATTAAAATTAATTTTAAGCATCAAATATAATTTTTTTTACGAATTTTTACTCCACTCTGTGCAATCACATCAAAAATTCAGTATAATTGAGAACTATGTATAATTCATAAAAAAATTCAAATTAAAGTTTTAAATTTCAATAATTAATTTTAGGAAATTAAAATGAAATACCGATATGTGTAATCAAAAATAACTTTTTCATTTGCAGCGAAGCTATAAATTGAAATTTGCGGGGAGTGAGCAAAAAATAGGTTAATAAAAAAAAATTCTCAACCCTACCTGCATTTTCGTATCCAGTATGTTATGACTGCCAAACCGCCCAAAGCAATCAATCCGAGAGAGCACCAAAATGAAGTCTGTTGAGGATGAAAATAGAAAAATGTAAATTTTTAATCAAAATTAAAAGTTGATAAAAGGATTTAATTTTTTGAAGAAAATTATTCAAATAGAAATCAGAAATTTTTTTAATACTCACAAGCCAAAAATGATGTGTTGTACTTTTAGGATCAACTTTCATTTCATTCAGTTCTTGGTTTCCTTATTGCATATTTTCTGAAAATTGCGAAATAATTAATCAATTGTAAAATGCGATTTTTTTAGAATTATTGATCAAAGAAAATTCAGCTCATAAAGAAAACATATCTAATTATAAATTAAATTGTATGATGTATTGACAACTAAAGCAGTATCTGTCAAGAAAACGGAAAGAGTTTGTATATAATGCCGGAACTGTCATAATTTTTTGCACAATTAGCAACAAATAAATCATTTTCTTCTGCATTCATTATTCTCAAAGAGCTTTTTTGTAAGTTACGAATTTCTTTTTTATTTGAATCAAGGCATATAAGCTATTTTTTTTTAAAAAGTCTATCCCATAGTAAAAGTTTCTTTTTCACGTTTTTGTGTTCGTTTCTAACAGTTTTAGATAATTAAAAAATTGTTAAATCAATAACAAAAAAGGAATAAATTGATATAAATAAGGTCATTGAACACCAAATAAAGGGGGGAAAATATGATTGTTTTTCTTCGTGTTAACACTTTAATTATCGTAAAATCGGTAAAATCACAATTTGCACATTCGTATAGAAAAATAAAGGCAAATTCATTTTTAACCCACATAGCCAAAATCACTTGAATGAAAAATCAATGCATTACAGTGAAATCGTCCATGTACCATACATTGGAACGGAACATGTATCATTCAAAGGATGATATTTTCCTTCACAATATACGATTTTTGGTATTATTTTATGGAAGGTTAATGTAACGTCCATGAATGGAACGTAAATAAATGTATAAGGGACGATTTATTGAACACGTGTTTTTTTTATCAAAGAATTTTTTAATGTAAAGAATACATGATTGTATTATTGAGCTTAATTAAAGTCCACTAACATTTTTAAAAAGAACTTGCAACTTAATTTAACTAAGTCGCATTCCGAGATATTTCAAGTCTCGAACACATGCGCGTGAAACATTTGTAATTACTTAAAGTATCATATAAACAAGGTGAGGCTATTTAAAAGTGATTTCTGCTAGTATTTGTAAAGTATATCGTAAGAAGATGAACGTTGAATGTTCAAAGAAAATTAATAAACTCAATTGGATCCAATTGGATTAGGATAATACATAAATCGTTCATTAATGTAAAATGCATGGAAAATTTTGGCTAAGTGGGAAGTTTGTTATGTGATTTTATTTTTCACGTTTTTCCTTATGTTATGGAACTAATTAGGTTCTGCCTTTCATGAAAAGCAATCATATTGTCTTAAACAAAAGTTTGGGTAGGCGAAGAGGTAAGAAGGAACTGGAAAAAGTCCAACATAAAATAAAGAATCAAAATAAATAAATTCATTTTAATAATAAAGTTATGAGGCGATGACATAAAGCAAGCAGATAATGCGGATATTTCAGAACAAAAAATAGTGGGAAACTAAAAGATAATTTATGGATGTAAGCATGAAAATGAGCACATATGTGTGAACTTTAGAGTCTTGCAGCTTTTGTAAAACTTTGTTCAACACATTACTGCTCATTTTCTTAGCCTTTTTAAACTTTTTTGTTTGGGTTTCTTTCCATAAACGAAATAAAATAAACTCATCGTTGCATCAGTTCATTATTTTTGCAATATAACTGTTTTCTTCCAATTTGGGAAAACCATCAATGATTGAATTGTTAATCATATCATCAGCTTTCTAGCATATGTAAATGTGTGTGAATTAATTGGGATAAATCATAAATTGTTATAGTGTCAAAGACATTTCCAATTTGGGTTCAATCCCAGGCCAAGTCAAGTTTTTTGAAGCTTTTTTTCCATTTCACCGTTCTGGTTTCGAAGCTCGGTTCGTCAAATCATCCTTAACTATAGTTTTTAACAAGCTTCGCACCAAAAATTTCATACTATGAACTTCTAATAACTTTCAATAAAAAGGGTTTCTCTTGTTTCGAAATCAATCTCACGTAACAATATTGTTTAAAATATTAATTGATTTATATTCTAAAATAATCTTCCAAAAAGATTTTAGTTTTAAGTAAATATGTATAAAATCTCTAAGAGAATGAAAAATCGAAAAAGCATAGTATCCTTTGATAGGTATACTAGGTAATACTAGCATTTGGATGATTTAATTATGGCATATTATGCACACGAATTGTAGCTAAGTAAATTGCAGGCTACTTTAGATCTTACGATGTACTCGTGTCTTTGCAATGTCCAGAGCTTGCAAGTGATTCTGATTCCACTTTAAACTTTAGATCTCCATAAAGGTAACATAGAAGATTCTATCATAATTGAATTGCAACGCCTTATGCTCAAAATGGTGGGCTCTTTTTAAAGTTTTTATAATATAACCTACTCTTAAATAAAATTTAATATTTTTTAAATCCTTTACCTCAATTTGGCTACCTTTTGATAGTTTAAAGCATTAAATAGTATTAAATAATAAAAACTTTTGTTTTTTTTTTATGAGAAAAGTCTTAGTTTAGCTATGACGTCAAATATTTTAAGGACATGTGCATATTATATTGTTTTGTGTGTATATATATGTATATCGTAGGATTGTGTTTTGAGAAAGAGAAAAAAATCATTTGCATAAAATCGTATGTAGATGTCTTAAGCTTTAAAAACTCTATACTCGCGATTCCAAAATAACTTGAAAATATTAAATTGTTCACTTACACGAAAACATAAAATCACATAAGAGCAACAAAGCCATTTATGAGTAGTCGATTAATGTGAAAACAGGAAAGAAAAAATTTGTGTTTAGAGTGAGTCGTTACTCGTTACCTACCTACGCTTGTTGTATGCTTATTTAGCATTTAGGAATTTTTAATTAAGCGTAGCTAAAGACGTAGGTTTTGCGAAGGATATGAAATTCAGATTTCAATCAAAGCTTTACACGCTCAAGGGTGCTAAAGCCTACTCTTTTTGTGAAAGAAAAGTTGTAAAGAAATGATAAGGTAAAATTGCACTTTAATTGATCATTAAGGATATTCTATTCTTAGCTTAATGCTTTAATGCTTTAATTCTTTTTTTAAACTTAATCTGCGAAATGTTAACAAAAAATATCAATTAATCTATTCATGGAAGCCTTAATTAATTTATCGACTATATGAGTAAAATTTTCATTTTAACAAGTTTATCAAAATTCCAGAAAAGTCTTGAAACAATTTCATATGATTGGATGAAATCTTTTCAGAAAAGTTCTGTTCACTTCATTAATAATAGTTAAAAGGAAAAAGATCATAAATATCCTACACAAAATCTTGCAAATTAATTAAAAGAGATTTTAAAATTAAGGTTAGTGTCTGAAAAAGGATATTCTAAAAGTTTCCATTACAACAAATGCGTGCTTTGTAACCGAGTTTCATACAAAATTTCTATTTTCTTTCTTCCACTCCCTTTATGACCTATTTTTACTTTCGATATTTCATTTATTTGTCTAAGAGAAGTTTTGTTTCATTTTATGAAATGTTACAATTTTAGAGACCCATACCTAGTCATTTTTTGAATCTAGTAAATTTTTATTATCTCCTTGTTTTGTTATTGTGAAGCTTCTATTGTTGGTCTTAAATCTTGTTGAAGGCAAAAAGTATTCCTTTTATGTGAATCGGCTTATGATTGTATTTTTTTTATATATTCCTTAGAAGCGCACTGTTCACTTTTCGTTAATACTTTACTGTATTAAATTTTAATCCACATGGATGTATACTTTTTAATATGCACACTTTTATTTTCTTTTATGAGCACTGAACTTTAGAAAACAGGAAGCAAAAAATTCCTTTTTCTCACAAATTACACTTTTTCCTTTTTCTATTTTCTTTTATTTCCTCTTCTTTTTCCTTTATGAATATATTTTTTTCAGGGAACGATTATTCTCATACACATACACTTTTTTCATTTACAGCTAAAATAATTGAGGAAATGTGAAAAAAATTTGCAAAAAGCAACACTTGACATTCACAACGAGCACCTCATTAGTACAGTAATATCAATTATCCGCGATTTTCTATTGAATAATTTTTAAATTTGTTGCATTTTATCTTTAAAAGATTCCTACAAGTTCCTTAATTTTCACTAATTGAGGATATATCTTAATTTTCTGTTTTATTTCAATTTTTTTTCATCCTTTGTGTACTGAAATTGAAAAAAAAAACTTAAACCAAATAAAATTTTTGCGTCTGATTCAAATGATAGCTTTCCATTGAGTGTATTAAAATTTCCCAAAAATGTACATCTAATGTGAAAATTTTCTTCTCACAGCATGAAAATTTTTCCAATCTCTCTCGACTTCTCTCATTTATTTTCTGATATCAAACATTTCTCTTCTCTTCGTTCCAAAACTGAGAATAAAAATGCTTATTTTTGATGTTATTTCGTGATAAGCGAGTAAAGTATACAAACTTTATTTTTTATTCAGGAATTGAAAGAAAGTGGTGCTTATTACTCATTCTTTCATTCATGACATATATTCCAGTGAAATGTATATTTTATATACATAGTGGATGACGTTTACATGCTCGACTAATGGAGAAGAAAATAACAGAGAGGAGATAAAACCGAAAAGTATTCGTTTTGTAAACGAAATCGAAACGTTTATGCGTAGCTTTAAAATTTTCAAAGGTAAAAATAACATTTAATACTTTATAAAAGCCGATAGAATGGAAGTAGGAGTTTTCGTATGAGATGAAAAATTTAGAGCAATGGAAACTGTAAAGCTATTCTCTCACAATTTATTCCAAAATCACACAATACATTTTCATCCATTCCTCAATTCACAGTTTGTCTGCATATTATTTACAGAAACTAAAGTGCAGTAAATATGTATAAAAGTAGGTCATACTTGTTAGAAAAATACTTTAATTGTTTTTTTTGGAATTTTTCATTTTATTATTTTTTTAAACTTAACTAAGCTTAATTTATGTTGGTAAAATTAACGATAAAGTGAAACAAAGTAGAGTAATGATAGGTAATGATTGGTATGCTAACTCGCAATCATACTCCAAAAGATATCCGATTAAACTTGATGATGTCGCTGTGCCAACTCGACCAAATATCATTGTGATGCATATGACGGTTGATCTGTGGAATACTTAATTACATAAAATACATATAAAACTCTAGAGTGTCGTTCGCCTTATGAAGTCTGTTTGGTCCATTTAACTACTATTTAAGTGTTTTTTATTCCTTCTTTCCTAGACACATTGAGCGAAAGACACCAAATGCTTATTTTCTTTTTCTATTTTACTTACATTTGTTTTGTTGGAAAGATATCACAAGCAACACCACTAATTATGGCGCTATTTATTCCAGCAAGCATTACAAATGAACAAATTAATACTATCATAAAGTATTGTGATTCTGAAAAATTTAATAGAATTCCCGAAATACTTGATGCTAAAAGTGTAATAGCTGTAATAAGAAAATATCAATTTTAGTCGCCCTACTAATTGAAAAGTCAAAGTTTGCTCACCAATAATAAACTTTCTCCTTTTTGGTTTCATAAATAATGATGTAGCTATGTACGCAATAGTAAATGCTAATCCAAGAAACATTGAATCAATAAATACATTGGGATTTATGGTTTCATCACAACTCTATAAAATTAAATTAAACATTTAGTAAGATATATTTCAATTGATATATTGAGAACTCACACGGTCAGAAAACTTTGTAATATTGTAATTGATTTGCTCATTGTGCATAATATCACAAATTTTGAAACTATCAATTGGATTTTCATCATAGGCGTTTGCAATTTTATTAAGTATATCGGGAAGAAATAAAGCTAATCCACCGGCAATACAAAAAATTCCAAACTGAAGGCAACAGCAGATCATAAAGTATAAAAGATGTGGTGGTTTAAGTAATGGCAAAGTTTGTTCTTTCATCGACAGCATTACTTTTTTTCTGTGAAAAAAAAAAATAAAATAAAAATTGATATGTTATTATCTAATGATCTCAACCATGACATAAAAAATAAACGTCAATAAGTTTTACTTACAATCCCGCATACTTTTTAATCTCAATATCATCATGACTTTCTTCACTTTGCAAATCATCTATGTCAAATTTCTTAGATTCTCCTAAGTTTGTCTTGTGAATCCATTTGACAATTTCCAATGCTTCTTCTTTACGATTGTTGATTAACAAAAATTTAGGACTTTCGGGTAACCGAAAGAGCCATAAAATACCAAGAATTCCTGGTAATGTATAAATTACTAGCAAAACTCTCCATGCTGAAAAATCAATAAATTCCACAAAATTTAATTTCCAGTTGTATGAAAGAATCATTGAAGCAGTAACTAGAAAGAAAGAAATGACAGTTCAAAAATGATATACAAATTGTTAATTGAGTACTTACAAGGCATTATTATCAGTCCAAAACCAACGGAAACACTAGCCCAACTGATAAGTATTGCTCGATGTTTCAGAATACAAAATTCACCTAACATTGAAAAGAGTTTATCGGTTAAAAAGTTCACAGGTAAAGTTTTTTATCATTTACCAATATAAGTGTAAATAACTCCTGAGTATCCAGCAACACTGCAAAAAAACATTTGATAAATTAAATTAAACGAGGACATTTAACAACTCACAATAATCCAGAAAAAAATCGGCACAACAAGAACAATGTAAAGTCACTAACAAACGCACCAAGACAGGTAAAAATACTCGATCCTATAACTGACCAAAAAATAATTGATCGTCGACCCATTGATCCTGCCATAATTCCCCAACCATAGCTTGGAATAATTATTGCTATTTGATTTGATTTTCAAAGTAATTAATTAGCAACTATAACACATTTTTCAATTCATTCTTCACTTACCGACAAATATTATCCCAGATAATAATCCTTTATCACTTTCACTGAGATTCATATCACATTGTGCAACTGGAATAATGAACGAGATTCCCATTGTTTCATTCATGACGTTCAATAGAATCAAAAATGATGCAAATAAAAGTTCGACTTGAACTCTGCCAAAGCCAATTTCTTTGAGTGCATCTTCATATGACAAAATTTTTTTCCCTTCAAATTTTTGATCTTTACAATCTTCTTTCACTTCAATTTTATTAATTTTTATAATATTAATTGTAATATTTTTATCACAGTTTAATGGCATTTTATTATTAATTTCACAAAATTTCATTCAGCTGTTCATCAACAGAACCTTCATTCTAAACTGCTTTACTACATCAACTGATTTTTATAATGATTATTTTCTCTATATATAACACACGTAAAAATAATAATACATCATTTCATTATATTATTATCTATCACTGTCTAACTATTGATATTGTAAACTTATAGTGTCCCAGATTAAATATTTTTATTTATTTTTTCAAAAGTTTTATTTACAATTATGGAAGTAAAACTAATAGATTTGCAGACCGATTCTCCGGAAATGAAATGAAACAGATTCTCAATTATATAATACTTTACTCTTTATACTGAAATAAATTAAAAATAATTATAAATCAAAAATTAATATTATATTAGATGACTTCTTTAATTATCACTTCCAATAAATTCTATCAATTTAGTGACAACTAAGAGTAATAGCTCCTAGTATTGTCAATTTTGATAAAGTATTGCATATATATAAATTATTTAAGAATTTATTCCCGAACGATATACAGACAAAAAAGTTTACGGTTGGTGATTTTTATTCCCTTGCCCAGTTAAAGATGAAATACGTAGCTCCAAAAAAAACATAATACATTTAAAGCAAAACAAAACATGTAATTTTACTGGGAAACAATTATGGGATGATAAATTTTTTACAGTTGTTCGGATGTCAACCTTTAAACGTCACACTCTTAATTGATAATTTTAACCTTCAATTTTCATTAATTGTTGTTCTTGTTAGATAAAATTTATCTTGTTTTATAATTTGAATGCACCGCAATGTGAAATTTATCAATTCGATATGGGCATTATCTCGAGAATAAAACAAAAAATATACCAATTTCCACACCAAATCTTATTATTGAGATTGGAAGTTGTAATTTTCTCCGTTAATAAAATCACCCTTTCAATTTACTTCAAAACAGCACTTAAGGATTAAAATAACGATATAGCCATATGGAATAGCACAAGTCGGTTAATCGAAAAGAAATCTGACTCCAAGCAAGCATGACTCTGGAATGGTTTTGGCTTCGTTTTATATCCAGCACCATGCTAGAGTTACATCAGCTTGGTGGGGATTTCTGATCGATTAACCAACTCGTGCCATTCGAGCATACTTGTCAAGACATTTCATAATTTTGAAATTACTTGCTCTTCGTATATTATTAGAGAATCGGCGCTGACAAACCGGTACATCGTTTTCTTTTAAACATTTACAATGGGATATTACACCGCAGGTTTGTGTAACGTATTTTTTAAAAAAATATCAATTTATCAAAATAAAGTGCATTTTCATTCACGTAAATTTAAAAGCTAGCGAACATGTTAAATGTAAAAGATAAAAAGAAAAAAAAATTTTTCCTTAAAGTTATGCAAAAAAATAATTTTATTATGATGTCATCTTAATAATAATAAAAACAATCTATAGTTTGGTAAAACACGACTTACGATACTTAATTGTCTACACCGATATAAAATTTTTAGGCTTGATAAATTTCTTAAACTTTGTAAAAGTAAAATAATCATTTCTTCGGTCGTGGCAAAACAAATGCAACAATGCAGCATAATACACAAATACCCGAAAACGAATAAAATGTCCCACTGCAACTTTTCTCTAAAACTACTCCAAGAATATTTGTTGATACTGTTGTTCCAAACCGTCCAAACATCATTGCGCAACATATTGCCATTGATCTATGAATTAAAAACGATTTTATTATTTTTTATTTCAACCTATTATTTACGTTCAAAAAATACCTTAAAAATGTTGGAAAAATGTCAACAGCAGCACTATTCACTACAGGCACATTCACGCCAGTAAAAAATACAAAAATGGTAAAGCATGCAACAATTGCAGAAGAAGATGTAAGGAAAGTAAGAACTATTCCGGAAATTGCAGCCACGGTGTAGTTGAATACTATTTTTTAAGGATATTAAAATTAAAGAAATGAAATTTCAAATCATTTGTTTAAAAATTTACCCAAAATGTGAGTCCTGTTGTAAGGATTAATGATGATTGAAAGAACAACGAATCCTATTAGATATCCAATTCCGACAAAAACTGATTGTACGTAAATATTTAAATCAACATTATCGATGCAAACCTATAAAATTATGATCACAATAGAATCAGAAATTTAATTAATATAAAAGATGCTTACAGATTGCTCCATTAGGGTTTCATTGGAATTTAGAAATATTTCTTTGGGAATATCATATATGTCACATACATGAATGTTATCATATCCAAGTGTTTTTCGTGCTATGGCTAATTTATTCAAAATATCTGGCATGAAAAGTGCAATACCACCGGAAACAGCAAAAATTCCCAAGTGCAAGCAACAGCACGTAAGAAAGTACTTTGCATGTGGTGGTTTGAATAATGTCCATGTTTGATCATAAACTGACATTAAGAATGCTTTCATTCCCGTTTCATTCCTCATTACAATTTCACTAGCTTCTGACTCTAATTTGTGAACATTAAAATCATTATCATCACTTTTTCCTGTGTTTGTTCGATAGATCCATTTGATAACCTCAAGTGCTTCTTCATCTTTACGAACTGATAATAAATATTTGGGGCTTTCCTTGAGAAATAAAAGTAAAATTCCACCAGCAATTCCGAAAATGGAATATAATAAAATTAACAGTCTCCACGGACGAAACTGATATCCTTCATAAATTTCAATTCGCCATTCATATGACATTATCCAATATGCAAGCACTAGAGATAAAGAAATTCTTATTATTGAAATTTTTATGTTACAAAGAATATTTTTGTGTACATGGCATGACGGTTGATGAAAATCCTACAGCCGTTGTAACCCATGATAAAATTGAAGCTCGATATTTATTAATGCTAAATTCTCCTGAAAAGAAATTAAAATTATTTGCTTAAATTTTCAACGGGAAATTCAGTAAATTACCTAAATAAGCATACATTATTGCTGAGTATCCTGCAACACTAATTTTTAAAATTTTATGTTTAATAATTTAAGCAATAAAATTGTATTTACCAGAACCCGGAAAAAAACCTTAAGATTAGAAATATTGTAAAGTCTTTCATAAAAACTGATAAGAATGTTGATATAGTTGATCCTAATAATGTCCATAAAACAACAACTCTTCGCCCTTTTGTATCTGCCAAGAAACCAAATAAATGACTTGATGACATTACTCCTGTAATTTAAAAACAAATTATATCAAACTCATTTAATTTGTGGCATTTTTTATAAATTTGGAAAAATTGTGTAAAAATACAAGTCATTTAAATAAACACTACGATAAAGTTACCGTTATCGTGCATATAGATATAGCTTATCTTAATGAAGAAAAATAAATGTTTTATATTTTTTTTGAATTGCTTAAGAATTAGCAAAATTACATATATTTAACTAACCTAAAAATGTCATTCCAGATAATAGTCCTTTGTCGCTAGTTGTTAAATTTAAATCACAAACTGCTGCAGGGATTACAAACGAAATACCCATTGTTTCTGCAAGGGTGTTTGCAAGAATCAAGAATGCTGCAAACAGTACAAGTATTTGCACCTTTCCAAACCCTATAATACATTTATAATCAAATAACTTCTATTTCACATGATATCACTTTAACACACCAATTTCTGCAATAGCATCTTCACACGATAGAATCCTTTTAGATTTCTTTTGTGGATCGAAATAGATGTCGGTAAAATTAATCTCATATATATTCGATACCATATTTTTAAATCTCTGCTGATCTTTGTCCGTAGAAGTGAAAAGCACAACTGAGATGTTTTAAATTTCTTCTAAGGAACTATTCCATGTGAGATGAAAAATGTGACTCACGATGTGTTTTTTTTTTCGAGAGAAGTAATCTGACAATGCCTTTGCAGGTTATATACGTCTTATCAAAACTCTTTAATTGTTTTCTTATCAAATAAAAATACTTTTTGCAGCTTAATTGATGCAAATAAAAAAATTAGTGGCTCAGATTTTTTTTCTTGCTTTTAAGGTTTATTTTTTTTTAAAATTTGGCTATCATCTTGCTTAATTTTGTTAAATATTTGAACAATTGAAAAATTTTCATTCAAACAAGAAGAATTCAATAATATTATGGAAACTCTTTAGCAAGGCGTGGAAACTATCCAAAATATCATATTTATCCCACATATCCCAAAAATATTCAAAATAATCCCTGAGAATGAATGCATACAGGCATTAGAACTGAGACATCCCATCATATCCTGAAATTACACGTCCAATACACTAAGGATACGTTGGGGTATCTTTATTATCGTGCATACATGCTCAGGTGTCAATCAAGTAGAACGGTGACCTAACGAATTGAGTGATGTACTATATATGGGTTTTTTGTGCTATTTTGTGAAAGCAGAAAAATTATTTGTGAAAGCAGGGGATTCTACCGAAAAAAAAAGTTAATTTTGCACTAGGTCCTGTCGTAGAATCACCATATCTTTGCAGTAAGGCTAGATAAAAATATTTCGTTTATTTTATTTGATTAAGGAACATTTGCGAAAATTACTGACCAAGTTTAAACAATTTTCGTCAAGCCTTGTCTTATTTACAGTCGAAAGTGTTAAAAGTAAAAAAGCGGCCCTAGCTCCGTTTTCAGATGCTCATATCTCAGAACTGGCAACTTCACAAAATTTAAAAATATTATTTTTCTGCTTTCACAAAATAGCACAAAATACGCATATATAGTACATCACTCAATTCGTTAGGTCACCGTTCTACTTGATTGACACCATGCTCAGGGATTATTTTGAATATTTTTGGGATATGTGGGATAAATTTGATATTTGGGATAGTTTCCACGCCTTGCTCCTAAGCTTCCTCTAAAAATCTAAATGGAAATAAAATTCAGCTTCAAAAAAATTTTACGATTTCTTTAAAAATTGTTAAAAAAATGAACAAGATTACAGGTCACTAATAGAAAAAGTTATTGTAAGATTACGTTGATGTGCGGCATTATCTTATCACATTTTAAAGTTTTGAGAATAATTCAAACCAACGAATTTTAATTTATAAATAAAACTCATCGCTATACAAATTTTTAATCATTTTTGATAATGACCTAGGACAATAATTTTACACAACAATTATTATCAAATGTATGATTCATAATGAGCGCAAATAAAATCATATTATGAAGTCTAGTCATTGATAGAAACATCGCACGTTTTTTATTATTTTTCTTTTCAAACTTAAGAAACAGTTTTGTTTATTAAATTTAAATTTTTTATATTAAAAATTGAGTTTAAATTTTTTTCTTTGACATTATCTTAAACAACCTTACATTATTATCATCGTTTTGTTACAATAAATGAAGCAACACAGCTTATTAAAATTATAGTTGCACAGCCAAAATATGTCTCATAGCAATATGAATTAATTGTATATCCAATCACATTTGATGATACAGTACCACCAAGCCGTCCAAATAACAACGACACGCTTACAGCCATCGATCTAAAATATGAATAATTATGAATCATCCATTTTAAAGGTTTTTAAACGATTAAAATGTGACAAACTTGATGAACCACATTTAAAAATTAAGCATTCATGATAAGAAAAATACTAATTGTTGGTGAATTTTTGTTAACCAACGTGATAAATCTAGTGAAAGACTTCTGAATTTTCAATGTTAATATATGCATCAATTTTGTAAACATATAGTCGAACCATGCACCGAGAAATTACCGTAAATATGTTGGAAATATATCACAGGCGACACCATTAATTAATGACACGTTTACACAGGACAACATCAAAAACATGCAAAAGCAGCCGATAATGAGGTAATGAGAAGTGAGAAAGGGTAGAATAAATCCTGCCATACTCGATAAAAATAATGTTGAAGCTGTTATAAATAATTGAAAATAACAAAAATAGTCATACTCAACTAGATATCATTGTGAATATAAAATAATATTTTTAAAAGCATACCTATGATATATCTTCGTGTATTTGGTCTTATAATAATTGCTAATACTAAAAATCCTACAAAATAAGTTCCGCCCAAAATTAAAATATCTGTATAAATGCTTGGATTCACGTTATCATCACAAAACTGCAAATAAGAAAAAATTAGAGTTTTTTTAAAAAGATAATAGAAGAAATGACAATACTTCATTAATAACTGTTGTATTTTTAGTAGTTTCTAAATGATTTGAATTATAATGCACAGCATCACAAACATAGTAGTTTAGAGGTGTTTCATTCTTTAATTTTTTCAGTTTGTTAAGAATATCAGGTAAAAATAATGCTAATCCACCACATCCACAAAAGCAAGCGAATTGAATGAAGCAACATGCTACAAAATAAACCAGGTATGGTGGCTTCAGTAAAGGAATTGTTTGATTTTTTAATGATGTCAAAATAGATCCTCTGAAAAACATAAATTTAAATTATGCCATTCAACGAAATATGATATTTATCTTACATTCCTTTAAGACAATTTCCATTTCCTTGGGTTTCAGGTTTGAGTTTTAGTATATCAAATTCTTCGTTAGCTCCGTTATTCATTCGATAAATCCATTTAACTATATCAAGAGCTTCTTGATTTCTATTAATTGATAAAAGAAATTTTGGACTTTCCGGTAAATGATAAATCCACAATCCTCCAATAATACCAGGAACTGAATAGATAAATAATATTAATCTCCATGGTCGAAATTCATATCCTTTATAAATTATAAAATGCCATTTGTACGGTAGGATTAATAATGCAATCACTAAAAAGAAGATTTTGAAAATATCGTGAAATATTAATAATATTATTTCTTACGTGGCATTAGTATTGTTGAAAGTCCCACAGCTACACCAATCCAGCTTATAACAGCTGTTCTATATTTAGTAATATTAAATTCTCCAACATAAGCATACATCACACCTGAATATCCTCCAGCACTAAAAAAATTACATAACAAATTAATAAATAAGCACAAAAGTCTATAAAATTATTCAAGATCTAATAGGTATGATACTTAATTGTTTTAATTAACTAGCAATAAAAGCAATAATGAAACTCACAAAATACCAGTTAAAAATCTCATGAACAAAAATACCCAGAAATTTTTCACGAAAACTGTAAAAGCAGTGGATAAAGTGGAAAACAAGAGTGTCCACATAATCACAAATCTTCGTCCTTTTGTGTCTCCTAAATATCCCCAAACATAACTTGATAGCATCATGCCTGGAACAGCATTAATTCAATATGAAATGAGAAAATATAACAGTGCAGATTTTTCAGCATTAAAAAATAATTTATGGACTAAAAGTTCAAACTGTACCAAAAAAAGGCATCGATGATAAAAGTCCTTTTGTGCTTTCATTCAATTGTAAATCACATTCTGCAGCTGGGATTAGATTTGATATACCCATCGTCTCGCTAAACACGTTTATCAGCACAAACATAACGGCTATTATTGCTTCGATTTGCACACGTCCAAACCCTTTATAAATTATTTGATAATAACTAATCTATTGGTATTTGAGCAGAAAAAGATATATGCTTACCAATTTCTTCGAGAGCATCTTCATATGATATAGTCCGATTTTTTTGGTCATCTGATATTACAAAAATGAAACTCTATTATTTTTTCCGGGTTAATTTTTTTTAAATACTTTCCACTCTTTTCCTTCTGCTTATACGATTCAGTATCAAGAGTACACTCTTTGCTCATTTTTTCTATTCGTTTTATTATTTGATCTTACTTCATTAAGCTTCAAAAACTAACTGATGCGGCAAAAAGTAAATCAGCTTTCAATTTACTCTCCTGAGAATGTGGCTCACTTATTCTAAGCTGTTTGCCTCTATTGTATGTTGATAAGTCAATGAAAACATACGCAAACATCCGAGGTACTTCCATATTATTTCATTTCATTTCCTGTATTTAGGCTTTTTACGCATTTTTAATTATTTTATGCTCATTAAATTTTAACCTAGAGATAGATATAGATAGAAATGTCTGAAAGTTGTAAAATGCTCATGAATGTTTTAAATAAGTAGGCACTTATAAATTGCCTAAAATCTAGTCTGAAAGCTCTGATTTTACTATTATTTGAATACGTTCTTATTGCTATATACCCAGTTACTTAATATCGATGAATATTAATGCATCTTCAACTTTCCATGTTTTTGCTCAGTATTAAAAAGCTTCATATCTGAAAAAAATAATTTCATTAATATTCCACAAACGTACTAATTTTACATAAAAAAATGCGCGAAATATTTCGTCACTTCAAAATTCACATGCTCGCATGCATATATGCTGACTCAATAATGACATAAATCATGTATCACCATTTGGAAAACTTCCAAATAATGAAATTGTCTAAGATGATTTGTAATGGACCACAAAAAATAATTTTCGCTTCGGACTATTATAGACTGCATCAGACTATATGCTTAATAATAAAAGTAAGTCACTACCATAATTATCTTCAAATGAAATTTTACGGCTGACATAACAATTGCAACGAAATAAAATTTAATGATGTAGAAAAATGACAATATATAAAATATATAAAATGAAGAATTTTTTGTCATTTTAAATATTTGTAATGATTCAATTAAAAAATATGATTTTAAACAAAAGTAGAGGATTTGCAATTAAGTTATGTCACAATAAACAAAATGCTTGTTCAATTTATCAAAAAATAATTCAATTAATTTTATTTATCATATATATATATTAATTCTTATAAATTAATCTTATTGTAACACAGCTTATCGAGCAAATCCATCAATATATTTTTTTTTCTTATCTTTATCAAAATTAAAATTATCAGATCATTAACACTTAAATTTTATTACTTAAAAATTTTAACAATTCAAAATTAAAAAATTGAAACATATTTACAGTAATTAAGGCATTAAACTTTATTGACTCGAATTCACAAATGAAATTCCTTATTCTTATGCATTTACAGATCAAATATACAAGTGACCTCGAGAAAAAATATAAAATAATTTAATTTGGTTTTATGAAAAAAAATTGTTTTGTATTAAGTTTACTGACTTCTCAAACTTTGTTCTAGCTCACTTTCTCAAAAATTATATATTGAGAAAAATGCGTTCAACTGACAGTTAAACGATGTGATAAAAAAAATAAAGTAATAAAGAGGTTGCATTTTATATGAACTGATTTGGTAGGCAGGCAAAACTTAAAAATGTTGATTTAATCACCTGAAATAAATGAAAAAAAAATTGGAAATTAAAATTTAGAAATGGAACTTTGTTCTTCTTAAAACTTACCAGTCATCATCTCCATAAATTCATCAAAATCAACTGTACCAGATCCATCTGAAAATTCAATAATTAATTAGATGTTATTTTAAATTGATTCAAGACTTTCTTGTAGCTCACCAGTATCAATTTCAGCAACGATACCATCTAAATCTTTGGATGTGAGCTTGTCATCAAGAGCACCAAGAATTTCTTTGAGTGTGGATGTTGTAATGTAACCGTTACCCTCACGATCGTAAAGACGGAAAGCTTCTTTTAATTCTCTGATTACAAAAAAGAGAAAAAATAATTATTTCAAATTTTTTTGAACAAATTAAGATGAACTTACTGTTGCATAGCTTCATCGTCCTCTTCTTCAAGGAAATGGGAAGCAATATTACAGAATCCATCAAAGTTTACTTTGCCAACGTTCTCAGGATCTTCCTCATCTATCAGTGCTTGAAGTTCACCTTCATCAAACAATTGACCCATTGTATTTAAAATTGTACTAATTTTAATTGTTTCAATGAAGCCTGACTTTGTTGTGTCAAACATTTGGAAAGCTTTGCGCATAATTTGCATTTTTTGATCATCGTCATCCTGTTCAAAAGAATCGTTTAATTAATTATGGTTTAACAATTGGTTTTTTCGAAAAATTAATTATAAATTTTTTTCTCGAGTTATTAAGGCTTTCAAAACTTAATTACTTCTGAAGTTTACAATTCCTTTGAACTTTAAAAAATTGCTCTTAAATTTATTTTCAACTAAATTATCAGAGTAATAAATCATCGCTAACCGATTTTTAATAGATTTCCGACAATTTTGAAGAAGATTAATAAACAAATAATAAAATCCCACACAGATCTATCTAGATTACAAGATATTATAGCTGATTTTTTTATGTTAATATCTTAATCCAACAAGTCATCGAGTATGAATTGAAGGTTTGAAATTTATGACTCTTAATATTATTTCCTCACTTATTCAATTTGAGAAATTTTTTTACGCTACACTTAGTTTAATGATGACAGAAAGCAGATAAAATCCTCCCGAAAAGTAATCATTAAGGTGATTTTTTTTGTCTGTTAAATTGATTGACATGCAAATGAACTTGATTGAATTTTTTTACACGCTTTTTATATTATTTTAAATTCTGACACACGTTAATAAATTAAATGTAAGAATAAAAAATACTGAGATAAAATTGAAATTTTCAAAGAATTTCAATTTGTTAAAGACTTTTAATTGTTTTGTAATTTTTAATGGAATAGTCTTGAAGAGCACTTCAAAATTTTCAAGTATTGAGCCATTGTTTTAAATTAAAATGACTTAATTAATTTTTAAAATAATATTAAACTTTATGATTTTCATTCAGGTTCGTATCACAATTCTTTCACAAAATCTTTGTTTTTGAAGCTAATGTTTATTTTTATTAAGCTGATATCACAAAACTTCTTCCAAAAGAAGGGATTATATAATAGACAAAACCGATTTTGATTTTTAATTTTTTTTAATGCACAAATTTAATCAATTATCTTTTAAAAAATTCATAATCTATAATTTCATCCATAATTTTAATAATTTTTTTTTTACCATTTTGGCTTTTTTTTTTGTAAATTTTCTATGAACAGTTAAAAAATTTAATATTAGCGCACTGCTTTCAGTTCTTTCTTGAACTCCGAATGTCACCGACAATGATTAGACACTAAAAGGACGGATCTCTTAATATAACATTTTATAGACAAGAAAATCTTTTTATTTTTCTTTAGCTCTTGCTTTCCATGTATAAAAAACCATCATCGGATTGTATCGTATCGATATTCTCACACAAAAGCATATTTTTTTCAAGAATTAAACAGTAGTAAAAAGTAAGCAAACGAGAGAAAAATAAGCTAAAAGAAGAACATTTTCTTTATAAATTTTTCTCGTTTTTAAGAGCAATTATAAAAATTCAGAAATTTGCTGTGTTTTGATGCTTTAAATAAAAAATATTCTCATTCTTTGTGGTTGTAACGTACGCGTTCGGAGAAGAAATAAAGAAAAAAATGTGGAGATGTGGTATACATAGACACACTGTCAAGATCGAAAGGCACTTAATTTTCCATAAAATTGGCGATTAATTAAAAACAGAGAGATTCACTCGATTACATCATGCAATTCTTGCTCTCATAAATTTGAAGAGGCTGTGATGATGATATAATTTTCAATAGGATGCTAATTAACATGCTATTGTATCTAATATCATCATCTGGTTGAAAATTGGCAGATCAGTTAATGCAAAAAAATATATTTTTTTCCGATTTTTCCTGTGAAAATTCTTCATTGAATTTATTTTTTTATTTCCACTTCTTGTTAGGAAACAGAAATAGCTAAAAAATATGAAAATATTGTCGAAGATTATTACATTAAAAATAGATACTAGGAATACATCTATCATAACTCAATGAACTATACAGAGAGTCGAAAGAAAAATATCGTGGGATTCAAAATATATTTTACAGGTCTCCTGAACAAAATTGCATTAAGCGCATTCTGTGTCAAAAGTTATTTCTGGTTGTAAAACCTTTCAATGTAAAATCAATAGTCAATCTCCTTATTGGTTCGATCAGGCTCGATCGCCTATTTAAAAGGCTATTATTAATTCAACAGAAAATTCATAAGTAGAAAAAAAGGAAACTTACCTGAAGAAAACCCTGAAAATTTCTATACTTGTGTCATCTTTTTTATTTTTGATGTGATCATCATTAAAAGATACATATCTCAAAAAAAAAATCATATTCTGACACCCATAGAGCATTTTGGCTTGTTATTATTTAACACCTCTCTTTTTCTGTTTTAAAAACTGTCTCAGTGAAAAAGAGTCTGTTGGGAAATGTTTATAGTCAATTACATTTCTCATAGCAAATATCGGTGGAAAATTGCTTTTGAACATTTACTCAAAATATGACATCAGCTTCGTTGTATGTTTCATTTATCGAAAATATATTTTGCTTGAATTTATTCTTTTATTTTGCATTGGAATTTAAAAATGAAAAAGAAGTATTCATTTTGAAGAGCTGTGAAGAGTAAAGTAATGTAATCAAAACATTATGGATTCACGATCGAATGTCCATATGCTTTACATTACTCAGCGTAAAGTTTGATTTTAGTTTTTTGTAATCGAACCTAATGAACTTTTTTAAAATAATTGTTAAGAAATTAAAATTTTGGAAAGGTCAACGATTAACAAGGGCTACCTACGAGCCCACTAAATACTCAAATCTTTATGTCATAAATTTAAGTTTCAAGCAATTAGTTTGAGTTTAATTAATTGAAGCTGAACGAGATTCGAAAAATATACA